CATCATTTTGGTAACAGTAAATCCACTAAATACTGGGGCTTAATCATCAGTGTGGCTCATATACTCAGTGTCTTCATACTAAAAAGTACAGTAACACTTTCTATGAATGTCACGTTTGTAAGCATCTATAAACACATTTATAACGTTATAATGCCTTCATACGGCATTATAAACATGATTATAAACATTTATAAAAATTAATTACACTGGATTACACTTTATAGCCATGTTTATTATACATTATGAATTGTTAATATAATGCATTATAAGTAGTGTTGATAACATGTTATACTGTCAGTGCCAAAGAAGTCAGTCCCAGCTTGGAGACTGCAAAGTAAAGACAAATACCAAGCTAACGGTGGTGAACATTACCTTTCCCACACTGGGTAAAGCACTGATGGCAGCTCTAGTTTAAACTCTGACATTTGAAGCCTGTAATGAGCTTTACTGTGTATGTTTTAGTGTTTCAGTAAATCCTTCAGTAAATACTTCAGCTTGAAGCCTCACTCTGAACACTGGAGGAGGCTTTAGTACAGTACGCTTCACTTTACTTAGAGCGGACAAATACGACTCCTGAGCTCTTATAATTTGTTATGAACAGTACTTATAATGTATTATGTTAACAATTCATAATGCATAATAAGCATGGGTATAACGTATAATGCATTTTTATAAATATTTATAGCCATGTTTATAATGCCTTATGAATGCATTATAACATGTTATGAATGTGTTGATAGATGCTTACAAAGGTGACATTCATAGAAAGTGTTACCAAAAGCACTTTATGCACTTTCATCTGACTGTAAACTGTCAACAAATGAAATTTTCTCATGCATAAGTAGCAGTGGTGGACAGTAAAGTAAATGTAATTCGTTTCTGTGCTTAAGTAGTTTTTTCGTGTATCTGTACTGAAGTTTTCCATTTGGGCGACTTTTTACTTTCACTCCACTACATTTCAAAGTTAAATATCTCACTTTTTACTCCACTACTTTATGATAAATCTGTCGTTCCTTTTGGTTTATGTGTGTATAAAACCGTAACATGTCAAAACGAAAGAAGCGCAAAGCAAGAACACCAATCAGGACACAGCACACTTAGTTTTGAGCTTGTTTTGACCTGTTGGTCATACCGACCCAGTGCAGCACACGGTTCAACGTCAGTGCAGCAGTAAATTTTTGGGAGTGTCTTTTCAACATAAATGATGAACTAACCTAACTTTGTGTAAACAGACCACAATATAGAAATATGTACATATATGCAGTTGTGACTGACGTGTCTTTTTTCTGAATTTATACAAACATTATTTCATTTTATAGTAAATTTGTTTTGGCTAGTTTATGTTTATGAACAGAGACCTACAGATGCAGTTTAGTAAAGGAAAACTCATTTGTGAATCTGAGGTTAAAACAAGGTTTTATTAAATTTAAACTTGTAACTAAGTTGCAAATAAATCTTAAACTGAAACTTTTTGTAATAAGTGATTTCAGAGCCAGTCAGTTCTACCAGATGGAAACTATTTGCCTTCAGTGTTTTGTGCTCATGATAATTTTAATAGACCTCAGCGTCAATAATTAATGACATTCTACTAAAAGACTGGTTTACCAAGAGTGACACTGGAGTATTTTTACCTAAAATGAGTTAATGAAGTGAGTCTTATTACAAAAATGATAACAGGACATCAGAGCCATAATTAATCTTTTAGTACTTTTACTTTCGATACTTAAGTACATTTGAAGGCAAATACTTTTTGTACTTTTACTCAAGTGGAGGTCTAAAGGGAAGACTATGCAATGGTATACGACACAGGTCACGTGCGAAAACAAAGTTTTCCGACTTATAATCTTGTCGAAGCAATCGTTCAAGCTTTCATCGGTTTCATTCGTGGCTCGAACTGGTCACGGTCATACCGACCCGTTCGAATCATTCAAACAAAATGAATCAATTGCTTCGGTCTCGAATCTCCGCCTTCGCACGTGACCCCGTGCAATACAGGATAAACGTACAAATGGTCAAATCTATAAGTTTAGGACAGAACCCAACACGTGACGACACAATAACGTCCGTTTACAACTCGTTCGAGCGCTCGAGTTCAAGGATTCAAACGAGTCGATTCGTAAGAAATGTTTCTTGATCGTTTCGATCATCGCTAATTCGAACGAGTCGATTCCACCATCACACCCTGTAAGATTCGGGTCCTGTTAGAGGTTCTGACTCACCTTTTTGGGTTTGTGTTCCGAGTCCATTTTCGCGTCTTCCGCGCAGACCAGTCAAACGAGAAATGAAGAAATTCCAGCCAGTCTTCGCTTTTGTAGCCCGCCGGCAGTGTGGATGACGTCACAGCAACGTTCGAAAGTATAGGTCACCATAGCAACAATATTAGGGCCAATGTATATAACCAACCAAATACCCAGGTCAACTAACGCGTTTTGTTAATTTTCTAGGTGAAAATAAGTAACACATAAATAACACGTTGTGTAGAGAGAACACACTTCTGCACAGTTTAATGCACAAATACTGTTTATTTGGAAAATGTAACATATTGGGAAAAAATAAAATGTGCCCTGTGCAAAAACCTACGAATGTTTTGGTTAAATTTTTCGCCCACAGATATCCGTACACCAGTAACCAGCACACTCTCTACAAGTTGTAGTCAGAAAATAGCAAATGATCATTTAAAATGACTGTTTAGCTGTTTAGAAACAAAACTCAGACTTTATTGTAAATATATATTCATTGGAAGATCACAGGAAGAACATCCAGAGTCAGTTTATGAGGAGTCTGGCCTCTTCTTATTTCCCCCGTTATATCAAATACATGACTGCTGAACGCCAGAGGGCGCCCGTGAGCGAGTTCTCAATGAATGGGGTTAAACGGCTAAAAACAAAAAGTTAAAATAGTTTCTAATCGCTTGCCCAGAACTTTCCTTTCAGAAAGCAGAAGGATGTATTTCACTAAAAAAGCAAAGAAAACCCACCTATATGTTTCCTTTTTTCTACAGCAAACAGGTTTTGGGCAGCAGGACGCTAAAATTACTGCTCCTGAGTGCTGATTGGTTGGCGAGAGAAGCAGCTCATTGGCTGTTCGCGCTCACTGACATCATAAACGTACATGAGGTGTCATTTTAAACTCCTATAACTCGAGTTCAAACGGGTCTTCAAAAATGACAGTGGTGTTAAAATGGTTTATGCTGTTCTTTGTACAAAACATGAATGTATTCTTTTATATTTAAAGCGTTTAGGCATTTATAAAGTGTGATTTTGCGCAAATGCTGCATCTTAACCCATCTATTTTGGATTTGCTCTGGAGCGCCATCTAGCGTTTCAGAAACAGGAAAGACATGAACATGAGGTCTCTAAAGGACAGAGTGGTGGACGTTTTGAAAGCTTGATGGCCATATCGAAAGCTCGCTGGGTGTGTCAAAAGGTGTTGAATGAATTCAGAAACACTGGCCAACTATGTTTGCACACATTTTGCATTTTACCTATCTGTGCAGTGAAACACCCACATACGTGCACACTAGTGAACGCACAAAAGACAATTTTTCATCTTTTAAGATCATAAACAGTCTCTTTGCAGACACCACTGCTCTGTGTTCTTTCACAAGCTTAATATTTTACACTATCGAACTCGTGGGTTTCCAAGCTTCAAATTCCTTTAAAATTAACCAATTTTTGCTTCTAAGTTGATGCTGGAGTTTTGAGGCTAATGTTGCTTACAAACAAGTCAATAGTCACCCAAATGTTTTCCATTATTGCAAACTATAAAAAAGAACAAAACTTCACCATGCGTAACTGGACGCTGTGGTCAGCCACTTTGGACAATAGAGTTGTACCAAAATTTGACTGCCAGCCTACAAAGTACGTTCACAATTTCTGATGTCTATTTTTCATTTAAAAAAAAACATTTTCTAACAGAAGATATATGTTCAAAATAGAAAAAACAGGACATAATCTAGCATCAATATGCCAGCACACATACATACAGATTCTGTGGGGGAGTCATAATTTGGCACAACAACCGAAAAGATTCTGGTGACTTTTATTGTACATCAGCAACGTTAACCTTGTAGCTCCAGTACTAAACTAAAGAAGCAAAATTTGGACACCAAACATGTCTTGGTTGATTGACTAACATCCGGGGTAAATTAGATTTTTCCCAGATCGATTTTTGCAGAAGAAATATTTTTCCTTCACAGCACTTTGAAATATGGCACACATTACTAATACAGTCATCACTACCAACTAATGGGACATTCTGGCCTAAAAACTAGCGTTTAATATGTTATATAATATTCTATTGTGCATCACTGTATCCCTCAGCCTCATCAGTTCAACAGAATTCACAATTTTTATATTGTTTTCGTGTTTTTTACCCAGCATGCATTTCACAAAGTATATCATATAGCCATTGGTGGCACCCAATCCTGCCTGCTCACCTATACACTGAGCTACAGTCTATGAAATACAACCAAGCTAACATTTGCATAACTCTAATCTTGATCATCGAATAAAACTGGAAAGAGTGATTTTATCTTTGTTCAGTACAAAAAGGGTTTTGTACACTTTCAGCCAGAGAAAAGAAGCCAAACTGAGGTATCTACATAGCCAGCTACCCAGCTAACCTTAGCTTTTAGCTTGTTCTGTTTATCTGACAAGTCCTGTCATTTATTCTCTCCATCGTAATGATGATTTGAAGACAATTACTTCACTGCAATAAGACATTCAGCTTCCTCGCAGTCGAAACTTCAGTCCATCCCAAAGCAGACTGTAGTTCTTCAGAAGCTCCTCCCACCTTCGAGATACATCATCAGAAGGGGGATTTCCTAGTCTTTGCATGAGAAAATCTCATTCTGGAGGTTAGTGTCATTGCTGCAGGATGTGAGTAAGCATGTGTACAACAGATGTAGTGATGGTTAAACATTTAATTTTGGCCAAAGTGTCCCTTTAACATTACAAAAAAATGTCCATGTGATGACAGGTTTAATTCTTTTTTACCTCATTTAATTCCGTTGTCTTTCAAATATGAGTATTCAAATATGACTTTAAAATCAAATACAAGAGAAACTATCTGTACAAAACATGTTTTACAAATCATGGTTTCTATACAGTCTTGTGGCAAAACATGCTTGGAACAATTGAAGTTTCTATACCGTCCTGTGGCAAAACAATCCAACCACGTATTTCAGTACTTTATGGAAATACAGGTTTCTAACTTGATTGTGAGAAAACATGAAGAACATGACGATATGTGTACGTGTGGTAAGAGTTTTATGGAAAACAGACTAAACAGGAGAAACAAAGACAGAAATAAAGTCATAATGACCAAAAAGAGTGACACTGAAACCAGGCACTGGATTCATTCCTTTTTGGGTTTGCTGTTGAAGATCATTGCCACACATGCTGAGCCAGCAGTCCATGTGAGTGCCGTAACAGGTAGCAGCTTACAGAAGAAAATTCCTTCAGTCGATGTCAAGAGTCCAGATGTCAACAGTCCAGATGTCAACGCATCACTGCAGCTTTAGTACTTAACATATTCAGACTGAAGGGACTGTGAAAAGACACAGAGACGACCATTAACATACAGAAGGATCGATCCTTGTCCTCCTTATCCAGACAAATTTATACTCACTGGTCACTTTATTGGAAACCCCTACCTCTGGGGTGTCAGACTGCAGCACAGTCGCCAATGTTATCCACAAACCACCAGTGTCTGCAGGTTTTCTTTCCAATCTTTTGTCTTTTTTTATTTCTACAAAGCGTTTACACACGCTCTCTTCACTTATTTTGTGACTGTTCCTAACACTGAAGCAGACATGGAAGCAAACATGGTGTCAGTGTGGGAGTTGAAGCCTAATCTTGAACAAATAAAAGAACATAACCATGCAGTTCAATAAAAGTTATGGTTGTACATTGTCATATTTATTTAAGCTACATATCTGTAATAAATCTAACAAGAAAGAATGGAACTGCAAACGTCCCATGGACTTCACTAGCCAACGCTCATGTCTGTAGCTGCTTAGCATGCTTTCTTTTGTCTGAGGCTGATGTTTGACTGTACATGACAGTGTTTTCCTCAGACCTGAAGCTGTTTTGCCTGATGTCTGATGTCTGAAATCTGATGTGGTGGTCTGAAGATCCTAAAACGTACATTGTAACATGCACAGGCTTCTTTGTACGGGCATGATATCTGCCTGCTGCACCAAGTTCGTTCAACCAGTGCAGCTCAACAGCCGTGTTTCTACAACAACCTTATGTATGTTAGGTACAGTAAATTATTAATTTATTGTATTAATGTACACTCCTAAAAAGACGGTTCTTCAAGTGTTCTTCGGTAAAGGGAATGGTTTTGTTTAGAACCATGAGTTCTTTACAGAACCGTTACATGGTGAAATGGTTCTTCAGATTGATGGAGAATGTGCTATATAGAACATTTTTTTATATAGAACAATGGTTTCGTATAGCACCAAAAAGCATTGTTCTATTGTGACATGATTGACATTTTATAGCAAAAGCCTTTTTGGTGCTATATAAAACCATTTTTAAAAAGGTTCTATATAGAAGCATCTTTTTTAAGAGTGTGTTTTGCTATCCTTTGAATAATATAATTCAATTAATGATCCACGTCTTTTAAAACTGCGGCAGGGTTCAACATCTACTTTTCCCCTCAGACAAAGGGATTTTTCGTAACAACGTAGTGACTGTTTTTTTATAAACGGCAGCGCTCTGGTTTTGTCTGCCTTCTTAAAGTACGACCTACAAACTACGCAAAATCTCCAGTATAGATGGGTCAAAATCTACATAATGAAAGGTGTTTTGTTCACAGGAGGGAGGATTCTTAAATTCCCACTTCGTCAGCGTATTGAATGATGACTCTATAGACAATTACCAACAATAATACGACTGGCTACATTCAATTCGATGCACATCTGGATCAGTCAATATTTTCCTGTGGTGTGGTTTTACAGTACAAAAGCAAATGAAGGTGATATCAAGTACATTGTTTACAGAGTTTATTGTCCCTGGAAACGTCAAAATGTCACCTTCCCCGACCTGACAAGTGATTCTTAAGGCTGTTGTCCCGACTTAGCATTTTACTTTATGTTTACTTAATGCTGAACCCTGCTGGTGGCAAATGAGTTTTTACCATCACTGGGGGCTTTTACCATGGTAACTTGCTGGTCACTAGGCACCAGGCCTAGGAAGTAATAAACTGTGCATCAATAGTCTGTAATTGTACCTATAAGATAGGTGGACCTCATAAAGTGGCCAGTGTGTAAAAATACAAGGTAGTTATTGGTGGATAGTGAGTATGTATAAATATATAACTCAGATGTTTACATGTTCACAAAATGCTTTGAAAAGAAGAATAATTTATGGCGCAAACCAGATAAGTTAAGGCAGGAAATAAGGGGTGAAAAAAAGTTTAAAGTTTAAAGAGAAAGAAAAGAAAAGAAGGTTTTAGGTCAGGGAAAAACGATAAGGGTGAAGAAAACTGTTGACAAGGACGAAAAGTCTTCAACAGGGAAAATCGGGAGGGAGACAAAAAAGTAATGGCAGTGAAGGAGAAGAGGATGAATTTGAAGGAGCAGCGAAGAAGCTGCAGTCCGCCAGTAGATGAGCCAGATTCACTCACTGGGATCGAGCGGCTGAGGGGGCGGCCTGTTAGCCCTCTGAGGCCGGACCTAACCGGGCCTCTGTTGGGGCTGAAAGCCGCTCTCTTCATTAGCCGGACTGTCCCAGGTCCAGGAGAGTTGTTGAGGTTGTTGTTGACCTCTGGGTGGAAGTTTGGGCCAGGGGGAGGCAGGCGGGGGTCAGCAAGGGGGTACCCGAAGCCGAAGCGGGGTGGAGGAGGAGCGGAGGAGAGAGGCAGTGGGGCAGGGGGTGAAGGTGGGAAGGTGGAAGACGACTCGCTCTCGTCGTCCTCCTCCTGGAAGTCGTCCGGGCCATAGAGGTTGCCAAGGGAACGGGCTAAGCGGGGTTTGAAGCTGCATAGGGGATAATTAAAGGGAAGTGGGTCAAGTGTCTTAATTTGACCTAGTGTTACACTGAAATTCAGTCAGAACTACTTTTTTTACATTGAATGTGCTTTTGACCAAGCACAAGGCCTGGGTGTAACCCTGCGTTCACACCGGCAGTGATGCAACAAATGGCCAGAGGTCATTCGTTTTCAATGAGAGCTGGCAATTTCTGGAGACAGGAGGTGGCATGAACGTTGGCGTTGTAAAGTGGGCAGAGTTTAACTTTATGCAAATGAAGAGCGAAGCGATGTGGCGATTACCAATAGTGATTGAGCAGCGTAGTACGCGCTTTATCTCCGCCACTGTGAAGCGGTACGCTCCTTTTTTGGTTTCTAGATAATTGTTCCTACTAGAGATGCATCGCAAACAGACAGTAATCACAAAGACCGAATAGCGTTTTCCTCACATACTGACTGCACAGACACGGGGATTAAACAAAGATAAGGACACAAGCGATTTCTCACCAGGATTTTTATTTCTAGCGGGAATGCATCTGATTTGTGTTTGGCGTCAATGAAACCATGGCAAGCAACGGTCAGTTCGAGTTCAGAAGCGCCCACAGACAATGAGTGATCAGTGATTTGGGTGACAACAGGCGAGAAGTCGCTGCCGGTGTGAACACAGGGTAAGGTCTAATGCTATGTTTGCATTTCGGTGGTAGATGGCAAACCGCATATTGTTTTCATTGGAGCAGTAACAGACAATTCTGCCATCAAGGTCAGCAGAACATTCTGTCAAGAGTTCAATTTTTCTAAATTTTGCTCTCAGCCACCACTGTGAAAATCACGGAATGCTTATTTTTTTGGGAGCCATGAATGCCAAACGTTTCATTGTTGAAGTCCAGGCACACCCAGTAATATATAACACAAAATTAAATGAGACCTGACTGCTACCTTTTTCCAACTTCAACAACCAATCGATGTGGCTAAAGCTCTCCTGTAACACTAATCATTTTACACAGGTACTGCTGTCACCATGGCAATGTTTTCATGGCTACGTGCTGCCATCTGTCTCATATCGACATGAGCACAACGAAAAACGCAAACACAGCATGATAAGCAGTCAGATAGGGTATTACTGAGACTGTAAATCTCTGACCTCACAAGGATTTGATTAAATTTTTTTAGGAAAAAGATTCAGTTTGATCGTTTTGATGCTATCAAGAAAAACACATCTAAATGTGACTGGAGGAACTATTTACAAAGTACCAGAACACACAAATTACAAAATAATACATTTTTTGATTTCGTTTAAAGGAAACTGAATGTTGTATTTTTGGCAAGAACAATTAGCGCAATCGGTAATAATCGATCACAGCATTCCAAAAACGATGTAGTTGAATCCCCATCCCCTGCTAGAGATGCACAACTACACCCTTAAGAATGACCATAAACACATTAACTTACATTCACTCAGTTAATAGCTCACCTCTTCAGGTTACCGGCAGAGGAGGAGGGGCTTCGTACAAGTCTCCGTGGCGATGGGGCGGCAGAGAAGGGCAGAGGAACTTTGGAAGGACTTGGAGGAGAAATGGAACCAGGAACAGGGCAAATCCCACTGGAACACAGAAACAACAAACAGACACTGAGACTAATTCAAGACCTGGCATCACTCCAGCCGTCTGATGTGCATCAGTATCTGTGAACTCCTCCTAATCAGTGTTTACATTAGGCATTTGTGCTGTTTCAGAAGTTTGTAAAGGAAATAGCTTTATAATGCACACTGAGTGATGCTGTTGATAAATGGGCTGAAATCTGGCGCCACTAAACTGGAAACAAACAACCAAATAAGTGCTCTGGAGCAGAGCTAAACACAATGTGAGCATTATTTAGACACAGCACAGCCCTTTGTTAATACTTAGCTCTGTCTATACCTGGATTTTATGTCTCACAATGGTGGATCCCTTTTTACCTGGCCACGTCGCCATGGCAACTTATGCTACACATCTAAACTGCTTCAGGGCAGGTTAACCCCTTTTTGCAAGACTCCTAGTGGCCACCAGCAGAATGGAAATCGACTTGCTAGATATTCTAAATAATATATTAAAATAAAATAGTTTCATTCACAATTATACTAAAATAGAATTATATTTTATATTATCTGATTTAATTCAAAATATTAAAATTCAAGGCTGAACTGAGGAAGCTCTTAAAGGGGCTTAGGTCAGGACTATAGACAGTAAACACTATAGACCAGTCAGGGCCGAGCTTAAGGTGGAGCTGGTCGCCCTTCGGTTACATTTTCTGTCCATCAGCTATTCATCTGCTTTACAATACACATAAAATCAAGACTAATAATAAAGTGGCACAGCAACAATTATAAACCCTGTCTGCAGTTCAAAATATTGCTTTCATCAGAAAAAACAGAAACCATATCACATAAATAAAAATGTATTTCAATTATATCTGCCAATGACAACACAGTGGCAGTGAGTTTTGCTGCTATAGGTGCTTTAGCACCAGGAGCCCAAGAAAGCATAGTCATCCTTGCTCTTTTTGGGTGGGTTGTTAGTCAACAATTTAATTCTCTGTTGCATTTGTTAGGTTTTGTGAAGCTTAAACTTAGTGAGGAGCCCTGAGTTGGTTTATGTGACGATTTGCATCCAAATCTCTTACCCGAGAGCAATGGAGGTGGACCTTGGTGGACGTCGGCCCTTTAACGCTCGTAGTTTGTCTCCCTGAGTCAGACCTATATTATCTTCCCTGTAGTCATTCTGTAGTGGGCAGACATATTTAGATTAGGAGTAAAATTAAAACCAAATCAATTAATGACTAAGAAAAAAGCAAATAAGCTGCCCTGACCACTGGCGCATGTTATGAAACCTGTACCAATCTTACACAACATTTAATGCCAAGATATAGAACATGTGGCGTGAAAATGCTAACGTAACTCAGCCTGTTCTCATGTCCCCTAGACTAGACTACAGAAGTGTTGATTTAAGGTAAGATTAGTTTGATCAATAGACAAAAACATTGCTTTAGAACTGTTACTCCTAGATACTAAACTGTCCCTTTTAGAACTGAAGCATTAGTTACCAATACAACTATCAGTCACATTAACCACATCAACACTGTTTGGCTGAGCTGCCTGATAAAGCTGTTTACCTCATTGATGCTGCTAGAGTTTATGCTGGTGCTGGTGCTGGTGATGGAAATGTCATCCATGCTGGAGATGAGATGCGCCATGTCCCTTTCCTGCTGCCGCCGCTGTCTCTGCTGTTGCAACTTCTGCTTTGAACGGTACAGATCCCCCTCCACCCACATGCTGTGCTGCTTTCTAAAAAGAGAAAAAGTGGTTGTAGACAAAAAGGTGGTACAATAGGGCTTCACTCAAAATGTTTCTATAATTTTAAACACAAAGCAATATGTACAACCATTAAATCTCCTTAGTAAAAGGTCCAGTTTTCCAAAAAAAGATTTACACACACAACATACACTATATGGCCAAAAGTATATCCTCATTATTGAGTTTAGGTCCATAAAATCAAGCACATAGTCGCAAAGTGGTGGCAGTAGAATGAGACGTACTGAAAAGCTCAGTGACATTAAATATGGCACTATAACGTGCCACAAGTCAGTTTTCGAAATTCCTGCCCTGCTAGATCTGCCCCTCTTAACTGTAATTGCTGTTACTATGAAATCGAAACATATAGGAGCAACAACAGCTCGGTCATGAAGCCGTCGAGTGCCGAGAGTGTAAAAAGGACCTATATGTCTCATCACTCACTACAGAGTTCCAAACTGCTTCTAGAAGCAACATCAACTGTGCGTCAGGAGCTTCATGAAATGGGTTTCCATGTCTGCACACAAGCCTAAGATCATCATGTGCAATGACAAGTCTTGGCTGGACTGGTGTAAAGCATGCAGCCACTGGACTCTAGAGCAGTGGAAATGGGTTCTCTGGAGAGATGAATCATGCTTCATTATCTTGTGGTCTAAATATGAATTTAGGTTGGGGAGATGCCAGGAGAACGCCACCTACTGGAATGCATAGTTCACAGTTTGGGGAAGGCCCTTTCCTGTTTCAGCATGACTGAGCTCCTGTGCACAAAGCGAGCTCCATAAAGACATAGTTTAATGTGGAGGAATTCTAGTGGCCTGTACAGAGCCCTGACCTCAACCCCACTGAACCACTTTGGTATGAACTGGAAAGCTGCTTGTGAGCCAGGCCTTCTCGTCCAACATCAGTGCATGACTTGACCGAATGGGCACGAATTCACACACACACACACACACACACACGCAATATCTTGTGGAAACCCTGCCCAAAAGAGGAAAGACTGATATGGCTGCAAGGGGTGAAGGTATTGTGTTCCTAATTTTAATCAATTTATTTTAGAATACTACAACAGCCTTTCCAAAAGTTTCTGTTGCAATGGAGGATTTTGTAGCGGGGGTGTTCATAGATACTGCTAACAGATTGTTAATTTTAATGGATATCATTTAGACAACCGATCACTCGTCCAGACTGTAATCGGAACAAGCACATTTATTGGCTCACTGGCTGTGTTTACACGCAAACAATTTTGTCAATCTGATTGAATACATTCCGATTATAGATGAAGACTGAGGTGTTTATACGCACTCTACTCAACAGTCTGATGGAAAATCTCCGTTTACATGCTCACTACAAGTAATCAGATCCAAAAGAGAACCACTTAGTGTAGATGTTACCATGACAACGAGCATCATGTGAGTCCAGTCAGAGTAAGACTTATTAAAGAATGCCGAGAGGAAGACGTCGTGTTCTGAGACACATAAGCTGGACATCCGTCTAACCGCCATCTTTTAAAGATCAGAGCATAAACTTCGTCTCCTCTGCAGACCAGTTTCTGCTCCGCCATGTTGAACTTTCACTATGATGCAACGCACAAGCAGAACGTACTGGGAATGTAATCAGATACAGGAGTTTACATGGTTATCATTCTTCTATTTAACTGATTATTTACAGGATTACCCACCTCGTTTAATCAGATAGAAACTGTATTCCGAATGGCCTCAATCGGACAAGTCTATTCAGATTGAGGTGTTTACATGGATGTAGTCGGATTATTAATGGATTACCAGGTTGCATGTAAACGCGGCTACTGACAGCTTATCGGCTCATGCCTTGACTACTGGTACTAAATGATACTTGTCGATTATCTGAAGTCAATTGATCAGTATCACAAAAGTTCCAAGTTTCTATAAAATTCATTAAAATGAATTAATGATTTAAACTTTTTTTTGCACAGAGGCTTTCAGCAGAGGTTTGTATTAACTAGTTACATTTACTTCACATTTTTGATTAACTTTATGTTCGTATGCTAATACTTTCACATTTGTCTATACTGAAATTCCTTTTCCTTGTTTTGGGTTTAATTTCATTCTGCTCTGTTGGTTCAGCTCCTGGGCAGCTTTACTATTGCCCACAGCTGGAGCATCAGTATTGGATTTTAGACCAAAATAATCCCAAAAAAAGAAGAACAGCTCATACTCATAGCAAACTTTAGTTCCTATGCTGAAAGACAGTGAATGTACCAAGAATTTCCACAGCAGGTTAACAGGTTACTCAGTACCTGAGGAGCTACTTTGACCTAATTTTTTTCTTGTCAACAGTTTTACTAGGCTGTGACTAAGTGTACTTGAGCCATTATTTCATTAAAGGTACAATACTTTTACTTGACTATGGGTTTATGGTTTCAAGTCAAGTCAAAGTTTATTTAAATAGCGCTTTTCACAACAGGTGTTGTCACGAAGCAGCTTTACAGAAAAATCCGTGCTACCATTCCACTTAACCTTCACCACACATGGTCTCTTTTTGTCCACTCACTCTTCCAGAAAGTTCTGCTGGGGTCCGATGACTGAGCCGGGCCTGCAGATGCGTATCCAGGCGATGGCCTCCGCAGCTGTGAATCGGTAGTGCTTCATGAGGTAGCAGCCAATCAGAGTGCCCGTTCTGCCGAGGCCCGCTGCACATGTAAGTAAAAGGATATACTGTGAGTTCAGAATCAAATTGACAATTTGCCCTTTACCGCAAATGTAGTCAGTCAGCCCTGGAGCCACAAGGCTAATGTAGCTAACAAATGGGGCTGAATAATTTTTTTTTTTTTAATCAAATTTGCAATTTGAAAGAGAAAAATTTTCAAAATCACAAGAGCTACAATTTTTAATATATCCTACATTTACTCACAGTCTTAACAGGTTTCAAGTGGGTAAAGTTTACCTAATAACATAGAGTTTGTGGTCTAGCAATTTGGCACACTATGTTCTGCATTCAAGCCTGAGAAAAAAAGGTTGTGCTGGACATCTTGACCTAAAAAAAGCCTGCAGCTTAATTTAAACGAAATAATAACAATTGCTGTATTGGTTAGAAAAATCACAACTAGATATTTCCACAAATCGTTCAGCCCTACTCACAAAAATATTGCAAGTTTATACCCCACCGGGCTAGAAAAAAAAACAGCCTTGCTAGGATATTCCCTACAAACTTTACAGAACATCTCAGGTACAGAGGGCTCAAAATCCACCCACGAGAACTGTGTTTTCCATGAGGGAATAAAGTCTAACCAGTTAAAATGGACTTGACCCATACAAAAAGGTGTGGCCAAGACCACCCAAAGCCAAACTCCCAATGTTCCTCTCACCTTTGCAGTGGACGGCGATGGCTCCCTCCGCACTTTCGCAGATGTGCAGGTAGCGGCGGGTGATGAGGTCACTGGGAGTGCTGCCGTCCACAAAGAACAGGTCATGATGCTCGAAGCCGGCGTCTGTGAAGCGGCGGCCCTCGTAGATCTTCCTGTTGAGCCGCACCACATCGGTGACATTGTGCTGGCGGAAGTAGGGGAAGTAGGCTTCCGGGGCATGGAGAGGGTAACCTGTGAAAGTTACACAAGGCTAATTAATGCTTAGGGGAAAAAGACTCTATTCAAAGAGAATGCTTTTTGGCAAAACCCAACCAAGTGCGTGATTTTGTGATTCAAGATAAGCTGTTTTGTTTTTTACTTCCTTAAATTAATAACACATCCTGATATGCTGTAAAGCCTCTAGTACTCACCATTCTCGATTTTACTCTTGGGATGAGGCCCACTGAAGGCCAGCAGCTTTCCAGGCACGATCCAGTTAAAGTCACCATTTTCTACACGCTAAAAAAAAGGCTTGAGTAAACTTAAGTAACAAACTTGTCATATGCAATTTATTGTATAGACATAAATAAACTTAAAAAATTATAGTGTATTGTTTTCTGTTCTGAAGCACTGGACGGTTGTACAGAAACTTCACAGGAATAGAAAAGACTCTTACTTTACAATATATTTGTAATTGTGTTGCTGTTTGAAGAAGCTACGGTACCATTTAAAACTTTGGAATTGATTGCCATTGTTGTTATTATATCCAAAATAATTTATAATAATTCACAACAATTTATTTATCTACAATAAAGGGATTTAAATATTAAAAACTACTTGCCCAGAAGTATGTCTAGATGTTTTATTCAATATTTTGAGTACTTTATTAAATGGCCCATGTCACATTTCCATCACGTTTTCAAAATAAATGTAATATCAATAGGTGAATGTGCTGTTCACTCCACAGTCCATATACAGAAGATAAGCTGTAAAAACAGCCTGTTTTGAATTCACTGGTTTTGTGATCTCACAAGAACAAACGTTTTAACACATATATGCCCATTCAGCCAACAGCACTTTAGCTCTAGCCATTCACACAGTACACTCAAGTTCTGTTGTAGCCCAGACAGCTTTTTGAATGAGGCACAATACAAGACGTCCAATCAGAACAGAGAACATTTATCGGTTTCACAAATCACATAATCAGATATCACAAATATCAGTTTCAAAGGCACAGAAACAGCCTGTTTCATTCTAAAGTTTGGAAAAAAGGTAAAGTAAAAATAAATCTAACTGTTTTTTCGTACAAGAACCCACACAAACAACATAAGCAGACCTACAAAATGTAAGATACGGGCCCTTTGGGGCAGTTATGGGCTGGAGGTTAGGGAACCAGCCCTGTGACCGGAAGGTCGCCAGTTCGACCTTCGACCAGTACGTGACTGAAGTGCCCTTAAACTAGTCACCTAACCCCCATCTGCTTCCCGCGGGCTGCGGATAGGGCTGCCCACCGCCCCGGGCAAGTTTGCTCACTGCTCCCTAGTGTGTGTGCGTTCACTAGTGTGTATGTGGTGTTTCACTGCACGAATGGGTTACATGCAGAGATGAAATTTCCCCATTGTGGGACTAATAAGGGTCACTTCATCTTAACCTTTAAAGAGGAAGGTTGCAGTCTAAAAGAGCAACCTGAACCTGAAACCGGCAAGAACATATGGCAAGTCCTACCTCATAATACTCATACTCTTCAACATCAAACGTCTCGAAGTCGAAGAATCCATGCTGCAGGGCCTACACAGGGACAGCAGAAAACATTCATGACCTCATTTAAAAGCACTTCATATTTCTCAAGCAACTCTGTGTGACCAGGTTTTCACAACTACTTTTAGGGTCCATAAACTTTATGGTGTATTATTTGTATGAGTATTCGATGTAATCCACAAATGTGTCTGTAAGAGCACAGAATCACAGATTCGCAGAATTCTGACCTCATTCCTTTTCTAACTTAGCACAACAGACTGGATGTTCGCCGTTCAGCCAGTTTCACGAAAACAACCCTGGAACTTATTTTTCTTCACCAGGTGGCTGTTTCTGATGATCAATTTTATTCCGCCTTGCAGAGTACAGTTATATAATTCCTCCACCCTGAATCGTGCCAACACTGCATCCTGTGTCAGTGCTGAACATGCAGATAATTAGACTAAAAGATTAGAGGCTAGAGCTGAGGCTGTGGAGGCTCCAGAAACTGACCTGCCATTGAATACATAAGCATGATATTAACAAATGGAGCTTTATTAGGGGTTACATTGGGACGTTGGAGGTGGGGAGCCATATTTCTCTGTTAGGTGGCATTTATGTGTAAAATTATCGTTCAATTGTCATTCAAGTTATTATATGGTTCCCAGCATTGATGTGAACTAATTTTCAATATTTCTAGCTATCTTGGTTATATTTGGATAGCTAGGTGCAAGCATGTCCTTTGAACGAATATAGTAAAATGTTAAAAGCTGCACAGTCGTTAAGGGAAACTCCACCGAAGTTCACATAATTAAATGGTTGAGATGTAAACAAAGTCATTCAAAGTGGTTTGGTGTGAAATGCTCTGTTCTAGAGAAATTTACAGTCAGAATTGTTCACAGTGGAGTTGATAGGAACCAGACGTCTCTAAAAGCTCCCTCACAGAAAGTTAGTTTTGTGATAGGGTCCTAAAACATCTTGTTAATCCATTTATTTTAATCCATTCATGCAGGGTGTTGTAAGGCAAGATAGTCCCTAAAGAAAGTGTATTTCCTCCATTTTACCATCATCAATATTACATATAAAACTCAGAAGGCATGTGTAGGTTCACTGGTCGTTTAGGATAACGATCACCACAACTGTAAAGAAATGAGTCTGTAGGCTTCTCTACAATGAACCATTTCAGACCAAATTACTTTGAATAACTCTTTCTGTTTACATCGCCACAGCAGAATTATGCCCAATTTTGGAAAAATTGGTGGAGTTCCCCTTTAATTATACAAGCTGGCTATCACAATGTGTAAAAATCCATTTAAACAATACCGGCCTACTGTATGAAGACATGCTTGATTTAGCTACCTCTTTTAACCATCTTGTTTTCCCACCAACAACTTAACAATTAAACAACAGTTTTACTACAATACTTCAGGGTTTAAACCATAAGCATGATGATTATATTAGATCACAATGAACTAAAAATTAGACATATATTGTTTATTTCACAGGTGGCACGGTGGTGCGGTGGGTAGCGCTGTCGCCTCACAGCAAGAAGGGCCTGGGTCCGATTCCCTGGCCGGGCGACCAGGGTTCTTTTTGTGTGGAGTTTGCCTATTCTCCCCGTGTCTGCGTGGGTTTCCTCCGGGTACTCCAGTTTCTTCCCACAGTCCGAAGACAAGCAGTCAGGCCAATTGGACATGCTGAATTGCCCCGAGTGAATGTGAATGTGTATGTCTGTCTGTCTGCCCTGTGATGGACTGGCGACCTGTCCAGGGTGTATCCTGCCTTCCTTAAAGCTGGGATAGGCACCAGCACCCCCGGCGACCCAGCGAAGTGGCTTAGAAGATCTGTGTGTGTGTTTATTTCACAGAAATCTTTGTCTCTCTGAATCTCTGAATGACTAGAAGAGCCCAAGGGCCGCATAGCACAGCGAGAGTCTTATTTAAATTAACCATTAGGCACATGAAAGCATCTGTTGTTTCACACTCACTTTGCGGATGCCTTGTAAACAGTCAAGGATGGTCAGGTTGTATGTGCAGTTCCCAAAGGCAGCATCTCTACAGAGACATGATAACATTCATGTATTAGTGACATTTATGGTTAGAAGTGCAGTAACCAAAACGTGCATGTATGTCTGTGTTTGGCACTCTTCAGTTAAGCTTTGATTCTGTCCAAACTCAAAGTTATAATGGTCACACTTTATTTCGATGGTCACTTCAAACTGTTAAAAGGACAGTCCGACCAAAATAAACATGTAACCATCTCTACGTGTGTTGTAAACATGCCTACTCGCCTACTGTAGTGGTGTCGCAGTGAGATGTTCTCGTTTAAAACTCCTTCTGATTGATGAGTCTTCAAGGTAGGAGAAGGTTTTGAAAAACTACAACCACTTTAGGGTGGATAATTGAGGGTGGGCCGTTTGAATTACCACTAGCTGGCGAATGCAGAAGCTAACGTCACTGCTAGGAAGCCGAATATCACAGCTGTACTTATTAGCTGCTACATCAGCAGCTGTGCAAGCAGTCAGTCTTTATCCCCCCAGGTGGATTGCCAATAGTTGTGTAATGCATACTGGGTATTGTAGTGAGAAAACAGTGACGGATGAAAACACTCGTGAAATCTATCGGTAACACTTTACTGTAGGGTACTGTTCAAACGGCTACATGACATCTACATAAGCTCGTCATGACAACTGACATTACCCTACATAAATGTTTATAAATGCTTATTCCAATAGGAGTCTTTCGCTATTAAGTTTATATTTGCCAGTTTTGATTAAAGTTAGCTAAAGTAGCCTTTATGACAGATGACACCTATTGGAATAAGCATTTATAAACATTTATGTAGGGTTATGTCAGTTGTCATGACAAGCTTATGTGGGTGTCAGATAGCCTTAGGAACTGTACCCTACAGTAAAGTGTTACCAATCTATCAGACCTGTGAGGCTGAGGGGTCCAATGCTGCACTACAGAATATTACATAACATGACAAACAACATATTTAATGCTAGTTTTAAGCTGGAATGTCCCTTCAGCAAAATATCTGGTGAAACAGAGTCGTTAGTGTAAAAGGAACAGATCGAACAAATATGCCAACATCGAACGAAAGATAGTATTTTTATTATGAGGTTGTTTGTGTAATGATAATTGGTGGACCATTAAAATGAAAAATATTAAGAACTGGCCTTCTTAGCTATATGAGATTATAATAGAGATGAACCTGAAAAAGACACTTATGCTTAACTCTACATCACCTTCAGTCAGATACAGTTATATAGTGATGTGTTTAAAATACACTTCTGCCTCTCCTCCAACACACTAAGACCATTCTGAACCATTAGACGTAATCACAGTCGGCTTAGACTACTTAGCAACATTCCTCCTGCCAGGCGTGATGCAGGAGTCTTACCTGAAGGGCAGGTATGACACATTAGTTCCAGATATCAGGGCACGGTACACCTCCTCTGGAGTCCTCTTTAAGTAGATTACCTACAGTCCAATACAAAGAATTACAGGTGTAAACCTCTGACCTCACTAAGATTTGATTCACTTGCAGTTCTGTTAGACGACAATTCAACATGAAATATGAAATTGCACCATTTTTGAAATAATTCAGAAATATTTTTACACAGATGGGACTCCAAAACCCCCAAATCAATCCTTCAAATTCATGAATCAATACATTTTGATAACCGTCTGCTGATAAAGCACTAAAAGAAACACTTTTCATAATGTGGCTATTTTGAACAGCAACCAAACATAACATAAGGATAAGAAAGGACGCAGTAAGGGGCACTAATAACAAATTGCAGTGCATATATCCACTTCAGATTCACACACATAATATCTTTTGACTGGTTACCTAAATATGGAATATGTATTCATAAGCATAAACAAATGTAAACCCTCTTCAAGGTTACAGGGGTCCCTCTGGTGGACTCAAAACTTCAAAATCCTTCATGTAATTTCAAAGGGATTCCGTCAACTTTAGGGTTAAAGGGTGAATTTGCAGTTGTACACTAACTCCAGTGTTTAAGACCATTTATTGTTAAACTGTGTTGAACGATCAGCAGAGCTTTATTTTACTGTAAAGGAGGATTATTTTATTTTTACCTACAAATCTAATTCTGCTGTGGAGCCACAACAGGGCAGTCAAAGAGCTGCATGTTGCCAACCACTGGGCTAGGCTATGCAAGCACCTTCATCTTCTTTAGAAACCAGTCTTGAGTTATTTTGGCTGTCCCTTTTCTGCCCCTTTCTTGGCTGATGAGATTAAATTCTCCTCTAATATCTCCTGGTACATTGTTCCATTCCTGTATTCTTCACTGACGTGTAATGCCTCTGTTTGCAGAACTCCCATCTTCGGCCTTCACTGTAGGTACGGTGGTCATACATGCATCATTCCCACTTTCATCTGACCAGAGAACATTGTTCTGATTTGTGTAAATATTTGTATGCAAAATTTAGACATGCATCTACTTTGTCTTTAGCAGAGGGGTTTTGTGTGGGGAGGAATGAAGACGACTGTGATGCAGTTCTTTGCTTATTATTCTCTTCCTGCTGCTTTGCCCTGAAACTCTTTTTGAGTGAATGCTGGCTTTTCCTTTATATATATATATATATATATATATATATATATATATATATGTAAAATATACATACTTGCATATATTAATGAAGTGCCTAAATAAGTTTTTCCGTATCAATTTTGTTTTGTAAACACATCTTTGTTCATGCTTATGAACATTTAGGCTCGTTTATACTTAAGAATTTAACTTTTTCTCTATATTTATAAGTACAAAGTTGAGAGACTATGTGCGTAAAGCTGAAGTGGATATATGCCTTGGACGTATATCAAACAAAAGTGTCTGAATATGACTGGTTTGCTGAAATTCCTCCAGGTTTCCTCCCTACATCCCCATCCTCGTCAAAATGTCTGCGCACACGCCTGAATCAACATCCTAGCTCTGACTGTAACCAGGCATTATGTAACTGATTAAGAACAGGGCAAAACGCACGCAATTGGTCCAAAAAAAAATCAAGTGCGTGATCATAGCCTGTAAATGATTTCTACAACTCAAACCGTTCTCAATTTTATATATTGTCTTGTATTACTGTATCATTCCTGTTTTCACTGTTTATGTCAGGACTGTGTCTAACAGTTAGCCAAAGTGGGTAATGTTTGATGTGCAGTTTACCTAGAAATCTAGAGTGAATAAAGAACAGTGAACTCACAGCGTAGGCACCGATCAGGAAGGCGGCGTTGGCCCTTTTCTGCTGGTCGTAGCTGGTGTAATGGATGATCCGCTTCCTTGACAGAGTGAAGGACTGCAGGGATACAGAACATCAACAATTTCTCTCTGAGAAACAGTTCACTCAGTTTCATGCCCCAACTTGTGCTCGAGTTTAAAGTCACAATCTTATTAAAACTTTAGTATACGGTTTAAAAGTTCAGAATGTTTTTAGTAATATGAAGCAGATTTGGTTGCAGATAAATGTGTAACATGGTTGTAATGTGTGAAAGGTTTCATATAATGAGTAGAAAGAAGCTGTAAAAAAATAAAAATAAACAAAAAATTCAATGCTTAATGTCTCAAGAATGATGAACAGAGCTGTAGATGATTCTAAAATGACCCAGAAACTTGTGTAATAGTTGAAGGTAAAAGGATTTGATAAGGCTAATGATACAACATTAGAGATTAATTGTTCAGTATGAAGCTGTGAAGAATGGAGAAAATTTAGATGTGCCCAGAATGATGGCTGAAAAGCTGTAAACATAGAAAATGAAGTTATGATAAAATCAACACCCACAATGCCTCGTATTCAAAAAGAGGTGATTAGATTTCGAGGCTGATAACTTAGTAAGTCATTACTGTTAATAAACTATTACAGCATGCAATTACCATTTAATAACTGCTTGTCATTTCCAAAAAATCTGACAAATTGAATAAAACATTCTCATGTTAATCTGGACATATTTCAGTCTACAATGTATAGAATACACTAAATAAAGCATTTATATTAGGTTATATGAGAAAATTGAATAATAGATCACTATTATTCACTAACAAAAAACATTTTCTGCAGGAATAAATCCCTAAAATGCAGTAATCCAGGGACAATTCCAGGTTAAATTAGACCACAGGCATTCAGTAAACGTGCTGAGATTAGCTGTGGCCTCACTTCACCAGGAGAGAAAATAAGGGAGGGCGACATATCACCCTACAAATAAATGATCCATAAACCAGTGGAAAACTTCACGGGTGGGTCAAAAGATTTGACATAAAGGGAGGCTTGACAGTTTGATGTATAGAGAACACGTGAGGACACAGGCTTTTTGACACAACCTCTGTAACCCTCACACACTGACGTGACCGCACTCTCATCTGTCTGTCATTTCCAGATGCAACAGGAGGTCAATTGTAGAAAAGTGCACTCAAGCTCAGGACATCTCTTTCATCAATGCCGGAACCTTCTGTTCCTGACCAGCCGGACGCTAATGAGGCTTTGAGGAGTTTCGTCTGTGCAGAGAGAAAGAGCACCCCCAAGTGGACAGTGCGAGCGCTCCCTCCTGAGCCAAGTGGGCATGTAACAAAGTGAAGGTAATTTCTGGAAGCATGCAGACGCTGCCAGCTAGATTCAGACAAGTGACGTTTTCAGGGACAGTACTGGCCCAAATCCACTGGCTTTGGCAGGCGTATCATTCTTCCCATCAACAAAGTCCATTACTGAGTGACAGTATGATTAAGAGTTTGTTGCTTCAGTGGTGTTAGTTTAAAAAGCCCTGTGAGCCAAACAGGACATGCATTATGCATTTAAAGGGAAATTCTATTGATTTTTAAGATGTCAACAAAGTCATTCAGGGTGGTTTGATGTGAAAATGCTCCGTTCTAGAGAAACTTATCAAGTCAGAATTACAGTGGTGGTGATAGGAACCAGACGTCTGAGAAGTATACTGCCTCCAAAAGCTACAGGACATAAATTATAGCATGAAATGGTTGAATGCCTAATCTTTTTACGACAGCTTTGAAATAAAATTTTGATTTGTTCATGGCAGAGAAGTACAGCTGTAGGCATACATTTGAATACCTCTGGTCAAAGGACATGTTTTGTTGATTTTTAAGTGAAAAATAAGTAAACCCCTTAAAAGGCCAAGTGTTATTACACAATTCTAACCTAAGAATAGCTCCACCAGCCTACATTAAAGTCCCTGTAGTTACTGAATAACAAGTCTTAGTATGTAATAAGCCTGAGATTTTAAGAGAACAGAACAGAACAAAGTTAAATATGTTATATTTTGGCAAATTCTAGTGCACAATTTCTATTTATGTGCTGAGTTGAACATTCTGGAAAACAAATAAACACAAAAAGTGACTTAACTTTTGCACAGGCCACATTTTAAGTTTTATTTTTTCCCCAATATTTTACATTCAGCAAATATACAGTAATTGTGCACTAAAATGCGCAGACGTATGTTCTCTGCAGAGGATGTTTTCACTTATTTTGGCTTAGAAAAACAACAAAACATGTCATTTGACAGGGGCGCCCAAACATTTACAAACAACTGTACGTGTTGGATGTTGAACAGCAAAATAGTCCCCAAAGAAAATGTACTTTTTCAGATTTACCACTATTTTATCATCATCATCAGCAGCAGCACTATTTAATATAAAAACTCAGAAAATGTATAGGTTCACCGGTGGTTTTGGATAGTAAATAAAAATGAACTTGCAATGTAGACATGGTGACATCTGGTTCCTATCACCACCACTGTAACGGAATCTGAACTGATAAGTTTCTCTAAAATTAACCACTTCACATCAAACCATTCAGAATAACTTTACAAATCAACAACTGAATTATGCAGAAATTTTGAAAGATTGGTGGAATTCCCCTTTAACACAATTTGTATTAGAAGAAACACTTAAGTAAGCACATAGATGTGTCTGGTTAAAGACACCGTGTTTTTTTCAGTCCTGCTCATGTCTTTACTAGTTTGAGAGAGACAGATCAGGTCCAACTCTGAGTTCATTCTAATACAACCTTAAATTAGATTGAATACAATGGAGATTTTCATTGGAAGCATCACTACTGGTTCAACGGAAAAACATGCCAGATACACTTGACAGGCCTCTGCATGTAGAATGTCACAGCTTATCGTCTTACCTTCAACTTTTTGTTCAGTTTACAGCAGTACCGGTACAGCATGGCCAAATTGAGAGGCCCGAAATCTGCATAGAAGCTGAAACACAAATGCCCCATTAATTTCATCACCCATGCCTTAAGATTACAACATGATTTCATGGACTGCTAACCAAAAATCAAGTTCCAGGAAACATAATTCATGTGGCAGAACATATGCAAATCTGAAAAGCCAGACACTTTATACTCCAAGGGTGCATATCAGACGCCTTAACAGACATCCGAGGCTGACTCACTTTTCATAGATAAACTCATCATCGGTGCAGAAGTAATGCGTGTTTGCTGTGCTTTTCGGCTTGCCTCGAAGAGTCGCAAAATATAACCGATCTGCAAGAAAGTGAGACAAAAATGAGTCATGAATGCAAGGTTGCTATTCAAATTAATACTGACAATTGCTTTTTGACACTGTAGATTTCTCTTAAGAACACATTAAATATAGTTATAGTTCAATAACTTTGTCCTTTCTTGAATGAGAATCCAAATTGCTGCATAATTGAGCCATTAAGATGTAAACAGAGTCCTTTAGAGTGGTTTGGTGTGAATTGCTCCATTCCAGAGAAACTTAGAGTGAGAATTGTTCACAGTGCTGGTGATAGGAACCAGACGTCCACCTCTAAAAGCTCCCACACAGGAAGATTTTACATGAAATAGTTATGAATACACTGCCTTATGTCTGAGACTTTGTTTAATGATAGACTTGTAGTATGATTTTAGCCTTTTTTTTTTACTATGGCGGTACATCCAGGGCGTTGTAGGGCAAAATAGTCCCTGAAGAAAACATATTTTTTATTATACCTTTATAAACATTACGTATAAAAACTCAGAGGACGTGTAGGTCCGCTGGTGGTTTTTTGGACAGTAAATAAAACGGCTATACATGTGTAGTAGACATCATGACCCCTGGTTCCTATCACCACCACTGTAAAGAAATGAGTCTCTACAATGAACCACTTCACATCAAACCACTCTGAATGACTTTGTTTACACCTCAAGCACTGAACTATACAGATATTTTGAGAAATCAATGGAATTCCCCTATAAATAGTAATTAAATGGCTAATACATGTGTAGTAGACATCATGACCCCTGGTTCCTATCACCACCAATGTAAAGAAATCTGAGCCGGTTATCTATTTCACATTAAACCACCATGACTGACTTTGTTTACATCTTAGCCACTGAATTATGCGGAAATTCAGAAAAATGGGTCAGTGCTATTGATGAGGAACTGCATATGTAGGGATAGGTTATGCAAATTTATAACTTACTAATGTCTGTAAATGTATGTAAATGTATATCTATACAAGTTACAGATGTTGTAACACTATGAAAAGCTGTGTAATCAAAGAGATTCATATAAACATTTTGTTTCTCAAGAAAAAGGTAAAAGACTACTGTATCTACCTGCTATAGATATTGTTGACATTATTATTATTTTATTTAAGCTGCAGCTATAAGCAAGTAAGAATTTCCCAACACTAATGTACACATGACCATAAAAGCCTTTAAGACTTTGAGCGCTGCGGCCATGTGTAACCCTCAAGCTGCACACGGCCACAAGCACGTCAGGCCTGACTGACTAGTCAACGGATTTATTTCAAGGTATTAAAGGGGAACTCCACCACTAATTCAAAATCACTACAGAATTAAATGTTTAAGATATAAACAGAGTCGTTCAGAGCGGTTTGGTGTAAAATGCTCTGTAATAGAGAAACTTAAGAGTCAGAATTGTTTACAGTGGTGGTGATAGGAACCAGACGTCCACCTCTAAAAGCTCCCTCACAGAAACTTATTACATGACTGCAGCCTGATGCCTGAGACAATGTTTTACAGTAGTTTTGGGATAAAGTTTTGGCCTAAAATGTCGTGTTGATCCATTTATTTGAATCCATTCATTGTAGAGGGGTACATGGAGACCGCTGTGAGACAAAATAGTCCCCAAAAAAAACTCTTCTTTTCAGATTTACCATTATTTTACCATGATCAACAAACATTACATATATAAACTCAGAAGACTCGTGTAGGTTCACTGGTGGTTCTGGAAAGTAAATAAAATGGCTATATTCGTGCTGTAGACATCGAGACCCCTGGTTCCTTTCACCACCACTGTAAAGAAATCTGAGTCTGTAAGTGAATCATTTCACATCAAACCACTCTGAATGACTTTGTTCACACACCAACCACTGAATTATACAGACATTTTGAAAAATCAATGGATTTCCCATTTAAATAGTGATTAAATGACTATATTTGTGTTGTAGACATGGTGACCCCTGGTTCCTATCATCACCACTGTAAAGAAATCTGAGTCTGTGAGTTACTCTTCTATGAAACATTACAGATCGAACCACTCTGAATGACTCTACTCAACGACTGAATTATAGAGAATTTTTTAAATATTGGTGGAGTTCTCCTTTAACTGGGCTCAAATACCTCTGATAATCTCAGCAGCTCCGAGCAGCTCATTGTCATGGGCCATTTCATTCAGCATTCCTCCAACACTTGGGGCTTGTTTGGCACCCACTAATCTTTATCTGTGCCTAATCTCTGAAGGCTTGAGATATGCAGGCCAATCTAAAAGCTACAGCGGGCTGAAAACACTGCAGCAGGTCCAAAACACAAAAACACTGAAAGTGTTCGTCAAAAAAAGAGTTTTGGTCGCTGTCCCGTCCCGCAAAAGTAGTTCCATGTCGAGCGCCGACGATAAAAGTCCGTCAAAAACGATAAGAAATGCCTTAAAACACTTTAAATCGCGATAAACTGAATCTTCGCTCTGAGCGTTTCTGCTCTTCTCCTTGCCGCGCGCTCGCGAACAACAGAGCGCAGAACGCAACAAACTTCACGCGACACTTCTTAAAGAGACGTCGCTTAGTAACCACGTGCCCTGCCGCCACACAAAGGTGCGTTGCTAAGAGACGGGTTTACGCTGACCAATCGGGCATTCGAGACGATACAAACGTGGGCGTTATTTTTTAATCCACCCATATTTCGACAGACCCCGCCTATCCTGCGCTACCATTGGTCCGTTGGCGGACTGCGTATGAGCAGGAACTGTTAGCCAATCGTAGCGTAAGGGGAGCAAGGGCACTAGCCAATCCTAGCGCAGGAGGGGCGGGACTTTGTCAGAATACAGGTGGGAAAAACACTAGTGTTACTGCTGGGTTGGGCTGCCTATCAACAGTATGGCTAAAGACTAAAAGTTTGTTGATTCGGTAGAAATAAGTTATATTAGTTTTTATAGTTTTTCTTTTGTATTAGATAATGCATTTTATTCTGATGAGTCTATGGCTGTTGAAAGTAAACACTGAATAACAGCAGTTTTCTTCTTCTTCTAAAAAATACAAAAGAAAGGCCCCATATTTTCATTTTTCCTGTGGTTTATTTATTTTTTTTTCTGATGTGGTCCACGTATGACATTTGTGTGGGTTTGTGTACCAGAACAGTCAAAATTTGTTTTTTAATGACAATTAGCCCTTAGAATTAAACATGAGCCTTAAAGATGAGATTAACCACCAACGTTCAACCAAATACGTCATTCAAGGCCTTCTGATGGTTCTAGATACCTCACTAACTGAATATAAGCCTTAGTCTAACTAGGTTTCAGTCATTTGTTAGCAATGGAAAACAGTGACAGTCCTGCGCCAGGACTACTTACTGAAAGAATCACTGTAAAACTGCTACAAGGCAGAGTATATTGTAGTGTTCTCCGCTGTTAACAGATAAACAGGTTTTGCACAAGTCGTGGTGCTTTATTAACCCACTGTTGCTGGCCACAGCTACACCGTACATATGCAGCTTTCTTTTCTCTAAAAGCCTGATAGCTACTCAGCTCGCATCCCCTTGTCCCCCACTCTCTCAGATGATGCACACACAGAGGTGACTCCTAGCACCACCCTCTACAACAAGAGTCCTTAGCAAAATGAACCCAGTAAATACATACTGAAGAACGCACAACCTAAAACTAACATGTAAACATTTCTTGCACAACTAAATTATGTTTATGCCTGTTAAAAGCTTTGAATAAAATGTGAAATGTATTTTAAAAGCTGCAAATGTCTGCATTTAATCCAGAATAGCCAAAAAATGTTCATGTGAATTGCCATTAGCTTAGTGCTAGCATACTGATAGCAGAAGTGCTAGTGCTACCATGATCGTAAACATTTCTTGAAGGCACTACATCCTGTTAATGCCTGTTAAAAGCTTCAAATAAGGCATGAAATGTCTTTTAAAAGCTTTGAATATCTGCATTTAATTCAGAATGCCCAAAAATGTTAATGCGAATTGCTGTTAGCTTAGCGATAGCATACGTCTAGCAGAAATGCTAGTGCTAGCATGATCGTAGGGGTCTTTTTTATTCTCATTTTTGACTGAATGTTGACACTGAAGGCCTAGTCACAGTTTGCCTCTGATGATGCTCATTCATACAGTCATACGCAAAAGTTTGGGCGCCCATGGTCAAATTACATGTTTTGGTGATTTTCTGAGTGAAAATAAGTTCCCCATGTTCTACAGGGAACATAATTGCATATATTTAAATGCACAGTTAGTGTTTATGTGTTAAATTTAATATACCGGGGGGGGGGGTCATAAATTGTGGCCTGTAAAAAAAGTTATGGCACATTTCCATGTTGAAAAAAAACAGCACAGCATTCCATGCTAGTCTCAGCTGGTCTGCTTCTGGTTTGGCTGGTCACCTTAGCATGGTCATACTAGTTGAACATTATACCAGCATCCAAAACACAACATACACTGGTTTTGCTGGTGATCAGCATATCAGTATCCAAAATACAAAGTATGCTGATTTTGATGGGGACCAGCCATGGTCTATGCTAGCTTTTCTAGACAAGATTACTCAGAAAATAAATGGAAGTTGTGCAGTAAAATTAGCCACATTTAAGTTGTTCTTATACTTTGAACACGAACAAAACATGCCATTCAAACTTTCACGTACGACTATATACTCAATGACGAAAGGCCATTAGACCCATCACAACTGACTGCAGCCTCAGTCAGGCCATGTTTAACTGAATGACACTGATACTCCTCCGATCCTGCGGATGCCACCGAGAGCAGGTGTGTGTGTGACCTGATAGAGGTGTGTGTGAAGGGGCCTGCCATCTGTCTGGAATCGCGTCAGCAGCCGTGGCACGTGCCGCTGACGTGCTTTAGCACTAACGCTGACTAATGTGATCAGCCTCCTCTCCTGCTCCCCTGCCAGCTCACGTTCAGCCATGATCCCCAAACAAACATACAGCAGAGCTCTGACACGAGGACTTCACTGTACGTCGTGTTACAGCTCCATCAGACCAACTGCAAAGGCTTCATGTCTTCTCAGTTCCCGTCCCTGTCCCAGCTGGACACCAGGCCTGCTCTAACCTCTCAAAGGTTCAATGTGTCATGTAATCTTACGTTTCAATTTGGCACAATTTACGATTATTTTTAAAAACATACAAATGCGAATTGAATTTTTTTCAACAGTGCCTGCAACTGGCCTCGAAAGCTACTATATTTAGAGGACATGATGAGAAAATTAGCCTGATGGTTCACACGAAAACCACATAACGTGCTAAATATAACCAAGTAGCTGTCAAGTCTCACAGTTTAGTTAACTCTCTGGGGTCCATAAACTCACCCGCACATCAAATTCAATGTTTCTATATATTTTTCTCTATCTTTATGATAATACAGCACAGAAATGCAGTTCAAACATTTCCTGTAGAGTCGCTCTAACCATTAAATCTTATCACAAGATTGTATGTGACTCACATCTGGACTTATGAGACTGTGAAGAGACACTGAGATACACGTCAGCTGCCTCTCACTGTGTATAATTGGTGGATTTGTGTGTCCATCTACATTTTGTGTGAAACTGACCAATGGACACTCAGGAAATCACTAAGGACTGACCCATCACGCATAAACCCTTCATTCTTCATTCATTCGACATTATAGATACCTAGGAAATGGTGCGCAGAGAGTTTACAGCCCCTGAAATTGCTGCTGGAAAGTAGCAACGAAGATGACTGAGTACTTTGATATGCAAAGTATGAGTATCATGTTACATGCAAGTGCCTTTAGAGGAGAAATTAAGAAGATACGCACAAGTGGAGAAATGCCCTCAGACCCCAGAAGGTTGAGGATTGCTGTTTTACGGCAGGACTTGCATCTTTTGCCTTTGCTGCAGCCTCACAGCAGTGAATATAAATCTAATGAGCTTCACTGTGCACAGTGTCCTCACAGAAACAGAACAATACAGGACTCTGCTATGTATTTGAAGTACACTGCTAAGCATTATTAGCCAATACAGCACCAATAAATCAAAGCTTTTATAGAAAGTACACAGAAAGGTATTACACGAAATGGTTATGAATACATTCACTGATGCTTGAGTTTTGAGATAGGCTTTTGGCCTATTTGTGGTGGAGAGGTACATGTAAGCATTGTAAGGCAAAATAGTTCCCAAAGAAAACTTATTTGCTTTTGATTTACCACTATTTTACCATCATCAACATTACATATAAAACTCCAAAGATGTGTAGATTCACTGGTGGTTTTGGATACTAAATAAAATGGCTATATTTGCATTAAAGATAGTATGACCCCTGGTTTCTCCACTACTGTAGAAAAAATCAGAGCCACTATGAGAGTGCACTTTATTAACCATTACTGGACAATGTTATCGACAATCAGTACTAAAATTGATTTAAGGTGGATCTGAAGATGGAAGCAATTTCAAATTGATTCCACCTTCAGTCTCTTGTATCACAGTGCATTTTGACACCCCAACTGTAGACTGTGTCCAGTTGAAGAACATGGGGTAGCTTATGGAAAAACAACAAAACATAGGAAGCACAAAGAAGATGAAGACCTGGCAGCTTGACCCACCTGCAATGTGTGAGATCCAGGCTGTTGGGGGCACCATGGCTGGAGGCCTGTGTTTGACCCGCCAGTGTCCCCCCCAGACGGGCAAACGGGACATGCCTTCATTGATGTCGGTAAAGAGAGGATAAGGAGGCCGAACAAAGACCAAAGTCGTAATACAATGACCTTCAGGAGTTCCTCACCAACATCTGCTCTCCAGAGAAAGCCTTGGCAGAAGGGAAGACTCCAGAAACTGTCCAAGGGAAGCGGAGAACGACATTTCTCAGCATGAAGAACAGAAGAACAGGCACTCGCTGCCTCACCTGACAGAGCGCCGCGGAACAAGGTGAAGAGCGGCTCAGGTGACGGACTCGGGTTACCACTCGGCCTTCTAAAAAAACCCAGCTCCTGCCATGACGCGAGTGCTCTGTTACATCTTACACTGTTACATGTTGTTCCCATAACTGGTCAAGCATCCTCAAGCAGTCTTGAACCCATAACCTCTGCTTTGTCACTGATACATTGTGAAAACATCATAAAATATGGTAGTTTGTAAGACGACATACAGTACTGATCTAAAGTCACAGAGGTCACCCTTCATTTATTGAATTTCCAGTCAAAACAGCCATTAAGTAATTTATTTTTCAGGGATAAGACTTGCTTTCAGCTTTTCAAGGACATCTGCAGGAATATTTTTCCACAACTCCAAAGTTCAGTCTTAGAAGTTGTTTTTTTGCTCCACACGATCCAAGTAATCACACATTCAGTGATGTTGAAGTCAGTCCATTGTTCTAAGAACACCAGCAGCATCTTTGTTCGATTTGCAAATCTTCTTTTTTCTATATTCTTTTCTCAGTAGTTGTCTTCTCACAGCAGACGGATGGACAGAAACACCAGCACTGGAAACGTATTCTGTGGAGTGACCAATCAGGCTTGTCTATCTGTCAGTCTGATGGACGAGTCTGGGTTTGGCAGATGCCAGGAGAACGTCACCTGCCTGACTGCATTGTGTCAGCTGTAAAGTTTGGTGGAGGAGGGATGATGATATGGGGTTGTTTTTAGGGGTTGCCCTAGAACCCTTAGTTCCAGTGAAGGGAAATCTTAATGCTTCAACAGACCAAGACATTCTGGACAATTCTTTGCTTCTAACTTTGTGTGAACAGTTTGGGGAAGAACCTTTTCTGTTCCAGCATGACTGAGCCCCAGTGCACAAAGCAAGGTCCATAAGGTCATGGCTGGGTGAGTTTTGGTGTGGAAGACCTTGACTGGCCCTCACAGAGCCCTGACCTCAACCCCATCAAACACCTTTGGGATGAACTACAACGGAGATTGTGAGCCAGGCCCTCTCGTCCAACATCAGTGTCTGACCTCACTAATGCTCTTCTGACTGAATGGGCAAGAATTCCCACAGACACTCTCCAAAATCTTCCCAGCTTCCCAGAAGAGTGGAAGCTGTTACAGCTGCAAAGGGGGGACAAACTCCATATTAATGCCTATGGATTTAGAATGGGTGTCACAGAAGCTCCTGTAGGTGTGATGTGTAGGAGTCTCATTACTTTTGTCCCATATAGTGTATCAGCTGAAAAATAAACAAAATGGTCATTTTGACTGGATATTAAAGAAATAAATTGTGGTCTCACATGGAGGGTGTGGCTCTTCTTCGGTTCCTCCTTAGGAACGGTACAGAAGAACCTGCAGTTTGTGAGATCAGAAAACATCCTTTTTCGTCAGGGGTCAGTTGCTGAGGGACAGTACTGAGGTAACACTTGAGATGATGACACGGTGTGGAGGGCAGAGTACGACTGGAGCCAGGTTTCTAATAGCACGCAAGGTCACCTACAGTGTTACAAGAGAGCTTCTCTGAGACATCTGAGAAAGCTCGGTGGAAGGGTTTAGTTATGGTGAGTGGTAAAGGAACTCCTCCACTGTAGGCTTACTATTCAGGTGGTGATCTTAAAAGGGAATTCCACAGATTCTTCTGTGTTTCTGAGTCAATAAACTGATGTAAACAAAGTCATTCAGAGTGGTTTGGTGTGAAATGCTCTGTTCTGGAGAAACTTACAGTCAGAATTGTTCACAGTGACGATGGGAACCAGACGTCTGCATTAAAAGCTACATCATAGAATGTTATTATACGAAATGGTTATGAATTCACTGCCTGAGACAGTGTTTTACAGTAGTTTTACAGGTTTCGTTAGACTGATGGAGAATGTGCTTTAGATGGCTCTATATAGAACCTGTTTGAAAGGGTTCAACAATAGAAGAACCCTTTTGGTGCTACACAGAACCCTTTTCAAAAAGTTTCTATATGGAATACCATATACAACACAACATAAAGAACCCTTGAATCATGCAAATGGTTCTTTAAGTGTTTAGGTTCAAATATAGAACATTTTCTTTACTAAAGAACCCTTGTAGAACCCTCTTTTTAAAGAGTGTAGACATTGTGACCCCTGGTTCCTATCACCACCACTGTGAAGGAATCATAGTTATAATTATCTGAAATATTATCTTGAGTTAACTATCTCGTGATCTCAAGATAACAAAACAATTATTTTGAGATAACAAGTTACTGACCATGTGATCTCAATATAACATAATATCTTGTGTGGAGCCCTGCAGATGACATCCCATATAAATAAAAATAATGTGTGGCCACGCCTTATTAACGCATGGAAACAAGATCCTAATGTGTGGCAACGACTTAGTAAGGTGTGGGAAAGAGATCATGCCTTAATAAGTCATCGCCACGCGTCAGGGTCTTATTTCCACGCCTTACTAAGTTGTGGCCACACATTATTTTATTTATACAGGATGTCACCAGCAGGGATTTAATTATCTTGTGATCTCAATATAACATAAAAGTTGTTATCCTGAGATAACAAGTTAAGTATCTTGTGATCTCAGGATAGCAAAGTTGTTATTTTAATAATTAACATAATTATTAAATAATTAACTTGTTATCTCAAGATAACAATCCAGTAAATGATAGCAACAGCTCATGGCCTCTCCAGACTTCCTTTCACATCAAACCATGCTGAATGACTTTGTCTACATCTCAACCACTGAATTATACAGAAATTTTGAAAAATTGGTGGAATTCCCCTTTAAACTCTGGCCCTCCGTCACTCCTACTGTAGCTGACTGTGCTAATAGAGCAGATTCCCTGAGTCTGCATGGCTCTCGCTGAGTAACAGATAAACCTCGTCATCTATTCCTGTCCTGGCCCATCAGCTTCAATCAGCCAATTAAACAGGAGCTTAATGGGGCAGCGGAAAAACACGGCCCGGCCGTCCACGCTAATCTCAGCAAGACAGGAAGTAGACGGACTGACTTCCTAAGCTCTGGGGTCACCTGACCAGTGGACCCATTCCAGCCTACGGCACAGGCCGAAGCCTGAGTGGACAGAGAGGAGAGTCCAGTATGTGTGTAGGGTAATGGATACTTACATGACTGGACTGTTAAGATAAGGACATGTGGGGCTCATATTAAAGTCAAACATGATAAGGCGAATCATGTCTGAGGTAGCTGTGGTCAGTAATCACTGTAGTCTTTCATTCACTCTGAAAAGAGGGGATCCATGCGACGCTGCAGACTGCATAGCGTTTTTGTTTATATTTCTTATTTACAATTACCCAATATTTGTGTATGTGGTTGTGTATTGTCTAATAATGTAAGATTTCACTGAAAAGATTCATCTGTAATGAGACTTTTCAACAGGATTTGATTTAATAAAATATATATTATTATTTTTGTTGTTGTTATCGTGTTGTTTTGATGGTGTTGTTTATCCTGTTGTTATTTTTGTACTATTATTGTTTTCATTGTTGTTATTGCTGCTATTTTTGTAGTTATTTATATTGTTGTTGTTACTATTGTTGTATTATTGTTATTCTTATTGTTGCATAGCCATTGTCATTGCTATTGTGGCTGTTTATTGTGTATTTATTGTGTATATTATATTTGATTGTTGTCGTTATTGTCATTCATATTGTTGTGTTTGTACTTATTATTGTTGTTGCTGATCTTGTTATTCTTTTTGTGTTATTATTGTTGTATTGTTGTTGTTTTTGTCACTGTTGTATTGTAGTTATTATTGTTTTCTTTGTTGTTCTTTTTCTTCTTCTCATTAGACATATTATTATTATTATCATTATTATTATTATTATTATTATTTTTATTATATTAGTGTTGATTGAATATTCCCATTTTCAGTCTGCATTATTACCCTTATGGGCTGAAAAAGACAGGATGTAATCTAATTTATAATTTCAACTTTTTTTTAATTTAAACTTTTTTTCATGATGATATATATTTCTCTGAAAATCATATCATGTAAGTACTTATTTTATATTTTATTTTTATGTTTTCACGTCTTAATATAAAAAAACTCTCAATGATCTGTTATTTACGCCATATTGTTAATTTCCTACGAGCTGTTAATTACATAGTTATAATGTAATGTAATACTCTCATATAATTATTTCATTATTATATTTATTACTTTCGCTGGGAGCCATTCATAAATGATACTTTTATTATTTATTTAACTTTCGAGACAAATAAAGCGAAATGATTGGTTGATCACCGGGGGCGTGAGCGTGTCGTCATCAGACCAAAACCGAGCCACAAAGAGTCGTTTTACAAGAGGGTTCACTCCGGAAAGTTTCCGTTCACGCGTATGGCTACTTATCGCGAGATAAAAGATTGTGTCTGGGCTGTAAGACCACTAAATTATCGCTTTGGCTGCAAAACAAGTTAAACTGACAATATAATTTTTATAACAAAATGAGGTTCGGTGCATGAAATTAAATAATTACAGATCGACACTGTTCTGACTTTTTTCGCCCCGAGTAGCGCTTCTTGCTCCAGCAAGCATCTTGGTGTGAGTGGAGGGTGAAGATGGCGGCGGTGGGAACAGTGCGGTCTCTGAGGGTCCTGAGACTTTTGGTAAACTTACACACACAAGCTGTGCAGATGTAACAGTTTTGTGGATGATATTTGCAGTAAACTAAGTTATTTCGTGCATAACTGTAAACATAACTGCAGCGCGGCACTGAGTTCTGCTTGCGAAAAGTAGACGAGTCTTACTTTCCTCTCCTCTCTCATTCCGGTCCACCTTAAACGGTGCAGCAGTTCCATTGAACGCTGTACAGGAGAGAGCGCCGCTTCAGCGTTATTTAAGGTGGACCGGGAAATTCGAATGAGAAGGCAGTGAATACACCAGTCATAACATTAAAATTAAAACCAGCTCCTTGTTTTTTTACACTCATTGTCCATTTTATCAGCTCCACTGACCGTATAGGAGCACTTTGTGGTTCTACAGTTTCAGACTGTAGTCCATCTGTTTCTCTGCATACTTTGCTACCCTGTTCTTCAGTGGTCAGGACCCCCACAGAGCAGGTACTATTTGGGTGGTGGGTCATTCTCAGCACTGCAGTAACACTGACGTGAAGGTTTTGTGTTAGTGTGTGTTGTGCTGGTACGAGTGGATCAGCCACAGCAGTGCTGCTGGAGTTTTTAAACACCTCAGTGTCACTGCAGGACTGAGAACCAAACATATCCCAGCGTCCTGTGGGCAGCGTCCTGTGACCACTGATGAAGGACTAGAGGATGACCGACACAAACTGTGCAGCAGCAGATGAGCTGTCGTCTCTGACTTTACATCTACAAGGTGGACTGACAAGGTAGGAGTGTCTAATAGAGTGGACAGTGAGTGGACACAGAGTTTAAAAACTCCAGCAGCACTGCTGTGTCTGATCCACTCAGACCAGCACAACACACACTAACACCCCAACACCATGTCAGTGTTACTGCAGTGCTGAGAATGACCCACCACCTAAATAATACCTGCTCTGTGGGGGTCCTGTGGAGGTATGAGTACATGTGCTGTGTGAGTCTCTAGCAGCATTTTGCAGTGGACACTGAGGTCACCCCTTTGTCCTGTTCCACTATTTGTTGCTATTTGCAACAAACCGTAGCTGAGGACAACAGTTTTATTTCGGCAGAAGGCAGCTGGACAGTTCAGTGCTGATTATGCTCATCTTTTCATTCACAGCCTCAGATTGCGTCCCGCTGCTTTAAGCCATGTCCGCGACTCCAGCTGGACCAGGCTGTCCACCATCACCCCTCACTCTGCATCTCTCAGCAGTGGAGAGCCTTCAGAACGAGCTGTGGTACGTGCCTTAATCTCATAGTGCGTCAGTTAATTCTCTACAAATGTGTTCTCAGTCTTACTGAACCTGCACTGTACTGGAACACAGCTCAGTGGACAGCAATCAGTCAGTCAGGCTTTATTTGAAGTCGAGTACACAGTGTGGCTGAGCACTATACAAAAAAGAAGGGGTTGAAAAGAGTAAATGTTTGTGATGTGAAAGTGGAGTAAAGAAAATAAAATATGACCAAGAAATTATTATAAAAAGTACATAAAATAACAATTAGGAAATAAAAATAAGGCAAATCAGGATGACCAATTAAAACTATTAAGCAGATTAGTAATAAAATATAAATACAAATTAGTAATAAAAGTAAACAAATAAACTCACTAGGGTAAGAGTAAAAAAAGATAAAGTAGAAAAGTAAGTAGTAAGTAAAGTTTATTTATATAGCGCTTTTTACAACAGGTGTTGTCACAAAGCAGCTTTACAAGGAAATCAGCATTACAGAAAGAAATCCGGGTCCGAGCCCCCATGAGCGTCGCCAGTGGCGACAGTGGCAAGGAAAAACTCCCTAAGAGAAACAGGAAGAAACCTTGAGAGGAACCAAGACTCAGAAGGGGAACCCATCCTCCTCTGGTCAACACCGGATAGCAAACAGCGTCAGTATAAAAGGAAAGAAAAAGGAAAGAAAGAAAGGAAAAACACACAGTCAGTTTTGTAATGGGTGATTGATTAATTTGATTAGTTTAAATGATTGATTAGTTCAATTTAATAAAAAAACATTACTAAAATAATAATATGTAATAAAATTTATATATACATATATCTATCTGTATATATATATATATATATATATATATATATATAGAGAGAGAGAGAGAGAGAGAGAGAGAAAATACAATTATAAAAATAAGGAAACTATTATAAACTATTAAGCTGATTGGTAATAAAAATAAATACAAATTAGTAATAAAGTAAGTATACAATCCATCCACCGATATAAAATAGAAATTGCGCTCTAACATTTGCAGAAAAATGCCATATTTAAGTGTGTTCTCTGTAGAAAATCACCAAATCATAATTTGATCAGGGGTGTCCACACTTTTCATTTGACTGTATGACTTATAGCACGTATTGTCTCCCCTATAGGAAAAAAATGGACGCTATTATATGTATAATAACTGCTTTGCTGCTTTACTTTTCATATAGTTACATATATCATGCAGTAGTTCAGTTAATTTAGAATGTTACTTCTCTCTGCAGTGGCATCTGGACAAGTTCTTCAGTTCAAACTGTCAGACATAGGAGAGGGCATCATGGAGGTGACCGTAAAAGAGTGGTACGTCCACAGTGGTGGCTCAGCCATCAGCCTTACTAGAGTAACTCTTTTGTACATTGAATTAATGCACCATATATGGAAGTTTTGCCCCAGTATGTTAAGGATAGACTACTGTTTTAAGTCTTTTCAAGTTTGCAGCAGGAACCAATGCATTATATGAATATATTTCCTAATAATTAAAGTACATTAGATAGTTTTGCTCTGTGCTGTACGCTGTAACATCTTCCTTTCAGTAGTCTTAATATTCTCAAATGACCCCTCCTGCTGTGGCTGAATCCGTCCCTCTCTCTCTGCGAAGGTATGTGAAGGAGGGGGACAAGGTGTCGCAGTTCGACAGCATCTGTGAGGTCCAAAGTGACAAAGCATCGGTCACGATTACAAGCCGTTACGACGGAATCATACGCAAGCTGTACTACGATGTGGACGCTGTTGCCCTGGTTGGATCTCCACTGGTGGACATCGAGACAGACAGGGAGCAAGGCAAGCTGCGTCTGCACCCCTTTAGACGAATTACTAAATGTTTGTTTTTTACTGATAGGTGACATTTGTCTCTGTGTCCTGCAGAGGGCGCTCCTGAGGAGGACGTGGTGAAGACGCCAGCGGTGTCACACGAGCACACGCACCAACAGATTAAAGGCCACAAGACCCAGGCTACACCTGCCGTACGGCGCCTAGCCATGGAGAACAATGTAGGTTCTCCAACAAAGGGGTTCATCTGAATGTTTATAATATGTTTGTGATGCTGAAAAGAATTTTCCAAACACTCGTAGGCTCAGATACAAAAAGAACACACTATAATATGGTGAGCGTGCAGCGCTGTGAGTCTCCCTGTAAAGCCTGAAATAGTCAGAGGTACCGGGACGGATTTTGCGGGAGGTTCTGAGACCACGTTATACATCTTTACATATTAACGTCACACACACTGGGTCGAAAGAGGGTCCGGCTCATGTTTAGCTCTCAAATGCAAAATCAACATTATACTGATAAAGATATGATGACGTTAGTAGAGTCTCTTCTAATACTCTTTCAGCGCACTCACAAAAGTCAGATTCATACTCGTCTACTTTTCACAATTCATCATTATGGGGGTCTGGAACACAACCGATGATGCATAATTTAAGGGGGCAGTCATGGGCTGGAGGTTAGGGTACCAGCCTTGTGACCAGAAGGTCACTAGCTTGATCCCCTGAGTTGACCAGACATGACTAAAATGCCTTTTGAGCAAAGCTCCTAACCCCCAGCTGCTCCCCAGGTCCCGTGGGAAGGGCTGCCCACCACTCTGGGCAAGTGTGCTCACTGCCCCCTAGTGTGTGTGTTCACTAGAGTGTATGTGGGTGTTTCACTGCACAGATGGGTTAAATGAGGAGGTCAGTTTTGTCTGTGTGTGAGCACAATTGGTCAGTTGTTCTGAATTTTGGATTCTGAAAATGTTCTCTCAACATTGTTTGCAATTCCATATTTCCACCAGAGAGGGCTCCAAATCCCCAAAACGTACATAGTTTCGTTGTAAATACGTTCTCAACAATTTCTGCCTCTCACTTTACAGAGATATCAGAGAAATCTAAGGCTTCACACCAGAGCTGAGCAGAAAGACAATATTTATTGTTATCGGGATAAATTAGGTCACATTTTGTCTAAATATGCTTTTCTGAGCACACTGTGGATATCATCAGCACTTAAAAACAGTTCTAAACTACATTTGACCAACATGTTCTAAACTACATTTGAAACATGTAGTGATTCTTAGGGGAAATAAGTGAAAACAGCCTCTATAGAGAACACATGGCATTTATCTGTGAAATGTAGACATATTGGAAGATAATAAAACATGAGATGTAAAATGTGCCATCATTTTCTGCCACATTGTATGTTTTAAATTTGTTCCCCAACATGTTAAAATTAGCAAATAAGCCATAATGTGTACTAAAAAGTTCAGTTCTCTGTAGAGATTGTGTTAAATTATTTTTATTTATAAAATCAACAAAATAACTGTATATGAAGTTCGTTATGATACATTTTTAAACTACTTTAATGCTCAGTGGCCCAAAATGCTTAGAAATATCGCTGCCGGACAAAAACCTTGTATCTCCATTTTTGTTGTTTTTCAGTTTTTGACGTAATTTGAAAATACCTGTTGGTCTTTTACATTGTGTGTAAATTTCATAATGAACGGACTAAAAGAAATGGCCCAAAATGACTCAGAAAGACGTCTGGTTCCATTGACTTACATTAAAAGTAAAGTATGTTTTTCCTTTTTTTTCTGTGAAGTTACCATTTTGGATTATGAGGTTTTCTTCCGACAACAGCGATATGACGGTCACCAATGATGCTGCTGCTCTGAATGCTGGAAGCTTCTATTTAGACTTTTTAGCCACTTCACCCCACACACACCACATGGCACAGCCTGGAATCAAACTGACCTCTGCTACACAGCTAGTGCATTTTAAGTCGCGTCCATTTCTCTTTCTGTCAGATTAAGCTGAGCGAGGTGGTGGGGACGGGAAAGGATGGACGCATCCTGAAGGAGGACATCCTGAACTTTTTGGCCAAGCAGACAGGAGCCATTCTCCCCTACGATGACGTGAAGCAGCCGGCGCCTCCAGTGGCTCCGGCCATAGAGAAGAAACCAGCCCCGAGCCCCCCGCCTGCTGTTCAGAGGCCTGTCTTCACGGGGAAAGACAGGACAGAGCCCCTCAACGGTGACTTTCAACTGCTTTTGTCTGTCATTGCTCATGTCCACACTTAAAAAGATGGTCTTTAATGGTTCTTTCGTAAAGGCTATGGTTTTGTTTAGACTTCTGTTCAGTGACTGATTGATAGCTAGAGCAACTTAGCATCGCTGCAACAGAGATTTATTTATACTTCACAGGCTTCCAGAAGGTCATGGTGAAGACCATGACTGCTGCTCTGAAGATCCCACACTTAGGTTACTGCGATGAAGTGGACCTGACCGAGTTGGTGCGCTTGCGCTCAGAACTGAAAGGACTGACTGAATCTCGGGGAGTCAAACTCAGCTACATGCCCTTCTTTATCAAGGTACGATTCGCACAGATGTTTCTCCTTTGCTTACAAGGTGAATCTGAGAAACATCTGTCAAAATTCAGAGGTGACGTTGCTCTGGGAAAACAGGAAAGTGACCAAAAGTATGTTCTACTTGAACCTGATTATTGGTAACTACACGCAACATGAATTTCAGCCAAATTGTCCTCTTAGCGCTAATTTACATTGTTTATGTATGAGTCTTTCTATATGTAAATTAGTATTAAGAGTAATTTGACTTAATGTCCGTGTGACTTAGAGTAGCATTTCTGTGCAGGCTCTCCCTTTAATGCAGGCTAATGTCCACATATAATTTGCATAGTATTCATATATACACTGTTAGAAATAAAGGTTCTGTGCAGGTAAATTTTTCGTTCATCAAGGTACAAACAGTGTAATGTTCCCTCAAAGGTGCAACAGTGGTTTTAGGGTCCAATTTTGTACCTTAAATAGGTTTTTCCAGGTGAAAAGTTCGTATTTGTACCTTTTCATAATCTAATGTTTTAAAACAGAACAGTAAAATAAAAGCCTGGAGACGAGACGGGGTGTGTGGAGTCAGTACAGCTTAGAAAATATCATTCAGTGGATTATGGTTCAGTTATGTTCCCTGACTAAAGGTACTGAGATGTACCCTTGAGTGAACCACCCCAGTGACAAGAGGGGAACTGACCCAGTGACAGTTTAGTACCTTTATTTCTGAGTTTAATGTAGTTAAGAAGGTTGAAGTAGAACATATTTTTAGATGTTTTTACATATTTCCTGTAGCAACTTCATCTACAAACTTTCAAAGCAGTTGGACAGATATGTTGCCGTATTTTGGCCAAACAAATTTTCATAAGTGATTTCCATTTTCGATGAGTTGCTGAATTATGTGTATATTATTATGCAGTATTATTTTCTAATCCATATAATCTTTTTCTTAATGTGACACAGATGTGTGTCTGTGTGGCAGTGTGAACAGCAAAACACACTGAATCTGACATTTTCAATTCCGATTTGAGACGCTTTCATATGTGGTACTAAAATCCGATACGTATCCGATCTGCAGCAATGTGACTCAGTCTGAACAGCCAGATCGGAATTCATGCGACTTTTACGTCAGTCCAGCGCCACATTCGTCATCATTTCGCTCTGCTGAGACTCATAAACATTTAGGCTGATGTTTCTGTACAAAAATTAGAAGAGACTCATCAAACCCCTCCATATTCGAAGAGATTTAGAAAGAAATGTCCGAACGCACCGCAGGAGAACGAGGCTGCAGCGTCAAAGAACAGTTAAAAGTCTGAAAGCAAAGTTTAAAGAATCCGAGGACGCGAGCCAAAGAAGTGACCGCGCCCTTTTTACAGTGAGCTCGAACACATTCTGGGTGATGAGCCCAGCTGTCAGTCAGTGAAGCTTCATGATGGCTCCTGTGATGCTGGTGAAGATGAAGCTGATCCTCCGGAGCGACTGTGGTTCGTTGGCGGTCGTGATTGTTTACCTCTGGATGAGCCGCGTGAAGCTCTGTTCTTTTGCGCATGCGGGTCAGTTTAGGAGCTGATCTGTTCAGACTAGCGTCGGATTTGGTGAGAAAATCAGATTTGGGCCACTTTTACCTGCTGTGTGAACGTAGCCTTACCAGACTTTTCAGTCACTGTTACAAACAGCCCCTTAGTCTGTTACTGCAACTTTCAGCTGAATTGCTCAGAGACGGAAGGTGCTGGAAACGAAGTTAAAGGTTTTATTAGCAGTAGAGATGTATAGATTTCTTATATTAAGAACATCATGTTCAAATACTTTTGATGTAATTAATGAAAATCTAAATGCATTAGGCCACGCCCTGTTCTCCCTTACGTCAGATCAGATCTTATTTATTAGGTCTTTTTGGTTTTGAGTACACTTCATAGTTGTTGGGTTACACGTTCTCCTCTTCACGCTGGTCTGTTTTTAAGAGTTGACTGCATTTGTTTGTGGTGAAGCTGTGGTCGTGATGCGATGCTGTGTTTTTTTTAGGCGGCTTCACTTGGCCTTCTGCAGTTCCCCATTCTCAATGCTTCAGTCGATGAAGGCTGCCAGAACATCATCTACAAGGCAAGTCCCAGTCTGTCTCATGTATGTCCGTAATATCTGACCACAAGCTGCTGTAAAGAAGATGAAAAGGAAGAAAGAGAGATTTTGAGGCCAAACGCAAAGTTTGACCACCTGATCACTTTGAACTTTGTGTTCCTCTCAGGGGTCTCATAACATCGGCCTGGCCATGGACACCCCTCAGGGCCTCTTGGTGCCTAATGTGAAGGGCGTGCAGGCTCTGAGTGTGTTTGATATCGCAGTGGAGCTGAACCGCCTTCAGGCTCTGGGCTCAGCAGGAGAGCTGGGCACGGCTGACCTGACCGGGGGAACCTTCACGCTCTCCAACATCGGCTCGGTGAGCTTTAATGGGTGATCTGGGCTTTTTTGTACAAAAATAAGGTCAGCTATTAGGATAGATTTACTCTGAGTGAGTAAAAAAAAATGTTGTTACACTAAAGCTACACGGCTAACGTGGCTACCAAGTCATTTTTGTGCCTAAACCATAACTTAATTACTGCAAACCATGCAGAGTTGTTAAGTAATCTCAAATAGACTTACTTGTGTGGTTTCTCACAATGTATGACATACTGTTATCTATAAGCATCATCTTGAAGCCTTTGTCTGTACTTTTGTCCACTTTATTAGTAACAGTACGTCATACGGTGTCAGAAACTACATATGCAAGTCTGTTAGACTTACTATTTCTTAGCTTCATTAGCCAGAAAACTAATTTTTAAATTTTTTTAATCAAATTTCACAAATTGATCACTTTAAATTTGAATTTAAGGAATAAATAAGATAAAGGCTTAGAAGATAATGGAATCAATTAGATAAAGATTGTGAATTTAGGATGAAGTAGGTCATCTGTGGCTTGTCTACGGATTAAAAAGGTATAAAAACTCAACGCAGCAACAAAGATAGAGTGATTCTTTGAAAAGGGAGGATAATTTGAACCGAGTGAAACAGTGAATTAAAGGTGAATTCTGAACAGTGCTGGTTGTTAGACATTGTGTAACTGTGTAGTAAAGCATTCATATTCATATACTTAATTTTTGAACAAATGGACTTTAAATGTGGCACATAATGCTTCTCTAAGCATGTAGTTCAGCTCTTGACCAAAAGATGGCGTCAGGTCTTAACGCACCAAATAAGGCTTTATAATCATATAATATAATCAGGTTCAAACTCAAATACAGCCCAAGAATTTTTCTGTCCGAGCCCAAAATGAACCGAAAAACAGGCAGTGTTTGAGTCCAAACTTAGCCCGACAAAATTGTGTCCAAAACTGACCCGAGTACAACATTCTGTTTGAAACTGACCCGACTTCAACAACATTGTCTGAAACTGACTCGAGTATAACACAGTTCTGTCTGAAACTGACCTGAATACAAAATTCTGTCCAAAACTGACCCAAGTACAAAATTCTGTCTGAAACTGACCCAAATACAAAATTCTGTCCCAAACTGACCCGAGTACAAAATTGTGTCTAAAACTAAACTCATGGTCCTCACTGGTAAGTGGGCAATATGGCAGTGGTCACCAACTCTGGTCCTGGAGATCTACCTTCCTGCAGAGTGCAGTCCCAACCATAATCTGCCACACCTCCTCCAGCTAATTAACATCTTCAGGAGTCCTCGATTGAGGTTGGAACTAAACTCTGCAGAAGTAGATCTCCAGGCGGACGGTTGGTGACCACTGCAGTGAGGAGCAGTGTTACTGCAAATGAGTGATTAGTTACAGGTCACAGGTCTTTCAGAAGTAACTGAACTGCTTTACCAATTACTGCATAGAAAAGTAATTAGTTACAAGGGAAAGTAAGTTTTGCGTTACTTCTAAATGTTGATATTCTGACAGATGACGTAGGTTGCATGTCTTCCACTACATACCTGGCAGTCAGTCTGTTTAGTTCTGTCTGGCTACCAGACTGTCCAGACCAGTTCTTGGATTTAAATCAAGCCTTGGCTGTTTGGGTGGAGGGACTGTTTGGTCAGCAGCGCTAGCACTGGGGTCTTTTTTGATTAGCTTTGTAGAAGTGTGTTTTACCAGGTGCTTCAGAAGATTGCGGTTACTTTTCAGACAAAGTTCTGTCCGAAACTGACCCGAGTGCAACATACAGTTCTCAGATCTGCATAGAGACTCCAGCTCACCGGTATATTTTTGTCCTTGAAGGAGAGAAAAACAATGCCCATATTTCTAAGACTGCTCATGTTGCCCAAACTGTTGGCCATTGTGGGCTAATGCAGATTGATTTGCTCATTTATTGTGCCACTGTGATGTCGGGTGATGTCAGATCATAAACGGAAACTGGAGGAACCAGCTGCATTTGTCTGCTGTAGTTTACAGTTGTCCATTAATATTTTCACGCAAGACAAAAGTAATGAGTAACGAGCCCATTTACATTTCAGTAATTTTTAATTTATTTATTTTTTCCTAGATTTCTCCCAATTTAGTCGTCTCCAATTTCACCCACTAGTTAGGACTCCCCCAATCACACTATACCACCCAGCACTAGGAGGGTGAAGGCCAGCACATGCTTCCTCCGAGACCTGTGAAGCGGCTCTCATCTTTTTGAAATCATCGTCACTGGACAGCTCGGAGGAAAGCACCAACCGCCAGTTGTTACGTCAGCTAACAGACATCTGCGCTGACTAGCATCGTGCTGAGTGATCGGAAAGAAGGGGGACCATCCTACCCACCCAGAGAGAGCGAGGTCAGTTATGCTCTCTTGGTGTCCCAGCCACGGATGGCTGTAGCAACACCAGAGATCGAACTCGACAACACCTAGATGGTTGCGCCACTCGAGAGTCCCAAATTTTGTAGTATTAAATCACAAATATAATTGTTATTTACATTGAAAAGGTAATTAGACACATTACCACCAAACGTAGTAACGTAATACGTTGTAACTCGCTGGTTAAAATCTCTTAAAAGTGGGAGATGGACTGTGAGAACCCAAATGTGGAATTTGAACCCAACCCGAGTCCGACACATATTTGAGAAATGACATCTTAACCAGACATGAGCAGTTGGGTCCCACCTCAGAGCGATCCTGCCACTGTTTTGGAAATCATGCATAAGATCTTGCAGATTTGGATAACAGCGGTGCATTAACAAATCCGGATTATTCTTATTCTTCCGAAAGTTCTGAAAAAAGGCCCTCAAAAGTGTTAAGCCCTCTTAGCCCTGAACTGGTCACAGAGCGTTTTGTTAAAGCAGCGTTTTCGGCTGACCTTGAGCAGAGGCTGGTGGAGAGTTGAGTCAGCTGTGGTAGATTTGGCTTGCATCACAAGCTCCTGCGTCACTGTGGGCTTTCAGCATGAAAAGTCATTTCTGCTGGCTCCAGTAGAACCTCGTGTCCTGTGCACGAGCCGATGCTGGAACAGAAGAGTGACGGGTGCTGATAAGAGACTCGGGACAGAACGACCTGCTTCCTGTGGCTTCATTCGTTTCTAATGTTTTCTGGCTTAGATCGGAGGCACCTACACCAAGCCGGTGATTCTGCCCCCGGAGGTGGCCATCGGCGCTTTGGGAAAGATCCAGGTGAGCCAGCGGACTTTCATCACCATTTAATAAAGAGCATCCACATACCTGAAGGGATTATAGCCAGACTTTTACGTCCATCCTTACTTCAAACGGGCTCTAGATTCAGTTCACTGGTTCCCAGCTGTGACCCTGGAGTATCCTGCTCATCTCAGTGTTAGATTTAGCACAACTGATCCAGCTCATTTCTGCATAATTCAATGGAGATGTAAACAGTGTCATTCAGAGTGGTTTGGTGTGAAATGGTTCATTGTAGAGAAACGTACAGACTCAGATTTCTTTACAGTGGTGGTGATAGGAACCAGAGGTCACCATGTCTACAACACAAATATAGCCATTTTATTTACTATTCAAAGCATCCTGTGAACCTGCATGAGTCTTTTGAGTTTTATATGTGATGATGATGGTAAAATAGTAGAAAATGTGAAAAAATATTTTTTTATTGGCAACTGTTTTGCCTTACAATACCCTGCATGTATCCCTCCGCCATAATTTTTTCATTTATTTATTTTTGTAAAAATGTTTCAGGATAAAATCATCTCAGAACTATATTACAGCAATGTAATATAACTGTCTGTGAGGGAGCTTTCAGAGGCATTAAACTCCTCAGACGTCTGGTTCCCATCACCACCACTGTGAACAATTCTGACAATAAGTTTCTCCAAAATAGAGCATTTCACATCAGACCACTCTGAATTAGGCAGAAATTTTGAAAAATCTCCAATCTGATATACACAGCCTTCCAAGTAGCACCCTAAAGCAGCATTAAAGCAGGGAAGACACTTACATTGACATTTCAGGGTTGAAAAGAAACAAATCCTTTTATTTTTTTCAAATCTAGACTGATCTAAAACAGTTTTCAAGCCACTTTGTCCTAAATTGAATGATAAAATGTTGTCTGTCATGTACTGTATCTATAAATATCTGAAATCTGAATGTAGTCTTTCCCAAGGCACAGTGGTATTACAGTGTTAATCAAAAGTTTCAGCACCCCGGGGCAAATTACCTGTTTTATTGAAGTGAAATAAGTCAACACATCCTCTACAGCAGGCATGTCAAACTGAGGGACCTTCCGGGCTGAAGTGCTATGGAGATTAGCGTTTACCCTTATCTTATGAATTCAGTGACCTGTGGCCTGCGAGGACTGGAGACTGACACGTGCTCTACAGGGAACACCCTCCTGTATATTTTCATGCACAGTTATTGTTTATTTGTTTAATTTAACCAATTGAAAAAAATTAAAGGCATATACAGATCCCCTGCTGGTGACATCCCATATCAATAAAAATAATGTGTGGCCACGCCTTAGTAACACATGGGAACGAGATCCATATGCATGGCCACGACTTAGTAAGGTGTGGGAATGAGATCATGCCTCATTAAGTCGTGGCCACGCATTAGGATCTCGTTCCCATTCCTTACTAAGCCGTGGCCATGCATTAGGATCTCATTCCCACGCCTTACTAAGTCATGGCCACGCATTAGGATCTCGTTCCCACAGTCCTTACTAAGTCGTGGCCACACATTAGGATCTCGTTCCCATGCCTTACTAAGTCGTGGCCACGCATTAGGATCTCATTCCCACACCTTACTAAGTCGCATGACTTACTAAGTCGTGGCCACGCTTTATTTCTGTTTATACAGGATGTCACCAGCGGGGCTGTGTTGGCATAAAATGAGGCGTGCAAAAGTTGGTTAAATGCCTCTTTTTCCCCCCTAATATGTAAAATTCAGCAGATAAACAGAAACTGTACATGAAACCGTGCAGAAAAATACCATATTTCAGTTTGTTTACCTGTAGAGGATGTGTTTACTTATTTGCGATTAGAAGACCAAAAAAACCAAACAAAAAATAAAATTTGACCAGGGCACCCAAATGTTTGCATAAGACAGTATTACAGTTGTGACCTGGTAAACATGGGCTACACTTGATATCAGATATGTATTTAATTTAAGACAAAGTGGCTCAGTCTGCATGTGTAGGACTGTAAATTCTGCCTGGCAGTAGTATATTTTAAAAAAGAGCCTCATGGAACTGTTTATTTGGACTTGTAACGCTGTCACTCTCCTCTCCTGAAGGTGCTGCCCAGGTTTAACTCCCGTGGCGAGGTGGTCAAGGCTCATATCATGAACATCAGCTGGTCAGCTGACCACCGGGTCATCGACGGGGCCACAATGTGCCGCTTCTCGAACCTGTGGCGCTCTTACCTGGAGCACCCGTCCTCCATGGTCCTGGACCTCAAATGAGAGCCGCTTCCGAGGACGCTGGCCGGAAGCGCCCTCTTCACTCAGTGCTTAGGCGCTTCTTCACTCAGTAGGGTCACTACATTTGTGTTGTTTTGTCTCTCTCGCTGCTAGAAGGGACTCCGTGCCTTTGTCGTAATACCTGTATCGTGTGAAATTTTCACCTAGAAGAAAAAAACAGAGAAGCCTTTTCTTTAGTCGCCTTCTTTTGCATTAACGGAAAAACCATATTCACAGTGTTTTACTTTACCTTGAACATCCAATCAAGTTCTGACACTGTGTATGTGTGACATACATACTGTTATCTATGATGAGACACAATCACATCGCATAGCTAAAAACAGCTGCTACCTGGACGCCTGAATTTTCTCTATTTGTGTCCATGATAGATAACAGTGTCATACATTGTCAGAAGCTACATAGGTCTGTTTATGATTACTGAAATGATTTTCTTCAAGACTTACTTTAGTCTTTGAGATGTAAACAGTCATTCAGAGTGGTTTAACGTAAAATGGTTTCATAGTAGAGCAGCTTAGACTTTGATTCTTCACAGTGGTGCTGATAGGAACCAGCTGATGCCTACAGCTTTATTTCCTATCCATAACAACCAGAGAACCTACACTACTTCTGAGTTTGTATATGTAATGTTGATAACGGCTAAGTAGCAGTAAATATGAAAAAATATGTTTTAACTGGGAACTATTTTGCCTTAAAATGCTCTGCGTGTATCTTTACGCCATGAGTACACTTGTAAAAAAAGATGGTTCTTCAGTGGCTCTTTATAGAACCATTTTCTTTAATAAAGAACCATGAACACTCAAAGAACCTTTTGCATGATTATAGAGTTCTTCGCATCATGAAAGGGATTGATTCTTCAGATTGGTGGAGAATGTGCCATAGATGGTTCTATAAAGAACCTTTTTGAAAAGGGTTCTTCTATTGTTACGATATTAAGCTTGTTACAATAGAAGAACCCTTTTTGGTGCTGTATAGAACCATTTTCAAAACGATTCTATAAAGAAGCATCTACAACGTATTCTCCACCAATCTGAAGAACCATTTTACAATGCAAAGAAACATTTAATCCTGCAAAGGGTTCTTTGAGTGTTCATGGTACTATATACAACCATTTTCTTTGCTGAAGAACCCTTGAAGAACCATGTTTTTTAAAGTGTAGATTTGAAATTGTATTGTTGTCACAACTTATGTTTTTTTTGTTATTTTTCCTCTTTTTCCATAATTTGAAAATGCCAGTTAACCTTTTCATTCTGTTAAAATCTCATTATGATTGGACTTACAGGTACTGAAAAAAATCTAGTTCCATTAACTTCAATTCAAAGCTGAGTTTTTGCTTCTCCTGTAAAGTTACCGTTTTTCGGGATACGAGGTTTTGTTTCCGACGGTGGTGATAAGATGACGTGTTTTAGATCAAAACGTCTTCTCAGAACAATCGTAAAACAATGAGTGCGTTTACATGCACTCAATAATCTGATCATAATCGGATTCCTGTAGTTACCTGATTATTCAAATGGTCACGTAAACAGCACACTCTGATTGCTTAGATCAGAATAAGGTCTAGAAATCCTATTAAGAAATCTGATAAAGAGGCTGGATTTTAGCTCAGTAATCAGATTTCTCAGTGCATGTGAACTCTTACTCTGATTTCTTTCCGGATTTCTCAGTCTGCATATGTGTGAAAACAGACAGCGGTACCGGAAATAAGCGAGCAGCGTCGCCGCGAGACGCAGCAAAGCACTTTTGGAGCGACACTAAAACCGACTACTTGACGAAATGATTTAAATATTCTTCATCTTCCAGATGATGTATGTTCATACTTTCAGGTAAAGTGGCGTTGATGTTTTAAAAATAGCTGCGGGCAGGAAGTCTGAGTTTTGCATTACGCTTACGTCGTGTCTTCTTCTGTGAGTTTATTGCCTGGTTGCAAAGCAGAAATCTGATTACTGTCTGACTCATGTAGACCTGGAGTTTCCCATTATCTAATTACTCAAGTGCATATTAACACGTTGATCGGATTACTGACAAAATCTGATTTTCTGCCGTTGTCAGATTATTATGCGCATATAAACGCACTTATTGATTGATCATGCAGTGTTTTTATAACCATTTCATGTAGTAACTTCCTGTGAAGGAAACTCTTCAGACGTCCGGTTCCTATCAGCACCACTGAGCCACTAGTAAACACTTCTGACCCATCAAGTTTCTCTATTATGACACATTGAATGGTCACATCTTAACGGTTTAATTATGCAGACGTTTTGTAAAATTGGTGGAATTCCTCTCTGAGACTAGCATATAATGACACACTGCTGATTAGTAGTGTATACGCTTCCGTTACTTGTTAGCCACACACTTAAAAAAGATGGTTCTTTGAGGGTTCTTTAGTAAAGGCAATGGTGTATTTAGAACCATGGGTTCAATATAGAACGTTTTGCATGCTGAAATGCTTCTTTGCATGGTGAAGTGGTTCCTCAGATTGATGGAGAATGTGTTCTATGTAGCAACAAAAAGGGTTAGAACACATTCTCCATCAATCTGAAGACCCATTTCGCCATTTCACCATGCAAAGAACCATTTAAGCATGAAATGGTTTGCAAAGATCTCATGGTTCTAAATGGAATCATTGCCTTTTACCAAAGAACCCTTGGAAGAACCATCTTTAAGAGCGTACAGTAGCCTCGTAGCTCCAGTGCAGAACTAAGGGAACACACTTCAGACATGTATAGGCTGATCGGTTAGATGTGGTGCAAGTCCAGTTATTCCTGTAAAATTTGTTACACTAATAATATCAGAAAATGCTTTTGTTAGGATTGTGCATCCTCAACGTGCAGCTAGTGTATTAAATTTCCAGACCTTTTTGTAAGAGGTTTTGATTTCTTTCCCCTTTGACTCCATTGCTTTGCCTTTTCCTTCTTTTTACGAGACCTTGAATGACCTACAGTCTGTATTGTTACCGTAAACTATAAGGCTGCAGTTGTCTGTAGGAGGGGGAGCCTGAAGTGGACGTAGTAGAGGCTGGCACGGGAAGGTACTTGGATGTGAAGAGAACAGTCCAACACTATGCTGCCTCATTGCCTGCTGACTCTCTCTGACACTTCATCCTCACAACGAGTCACTGTACAACTGACAGTCAGCTACTTCATTTGAAACCACTTGGCAAGGCAGAGTGGACACTGCCGAACTGTGAATGGACATTGTTACGTGGGAAGCGGCGTCACTTGACAATGCTGCTGAGGGAGGCAATGTGGGAAGACTGTGATTTCTATGGTGGGAATGAATAATGACAGATTGTATGAAAATTAAAAGTAATTTAAGAAAAAGGTCTCGGTCTCTATGTTGGCTTCTTAGCTTCAGGTCAAAACTAGAAGTATCAGTTGTGTAAATTTGTCTTATATTATACTTTTATTTATTTTTTTTAGAACTAGCTGCTTTTGTGCCTGATCAGCCATAACCTTGTGTCTACACTCATTGTCCATTGTCCATACACTCTATGCTCCACTGACCACATAGGAGCACTTTGTAGTTCTACGACTACAGACTGTAGTTCATCTGTTTCTCTGCATACTTTGTTACCCCGTTCTTCAATGGTCAGGACCCCCACAGAGCAGGTACTATTTGGGTGGTGGATCATTCTCAGCACTGCAGTAACACTGATATGGTGGTGGTGTGTTAGTGTGTGTTGTGCTGGTCTGAGTGGATCAGACATAGCAGTACTGCTGGAGTTTTTAAACACCTCAGTGTCACTGCTGGACTGAGAACCAAAAATATCCAGCCAACAGCGTCCTGTGACCACTAGAGGATGACCAACAACAGATGAGCTACTGTCTCTGACTTTACCTCTTCAAGGTGGGCCAACAAGGTAGGAGTGTCTAATAGAGTGGACAGCAAGTGGACACAGTGTTTAAACACCAGCACTGTTGTGTCTGATTCTGAGAACCTTAACCATCACTTGATTCCAAAAATAGGAATGGAAAGTTGGACTAAGAATGATAATAATGTTTTTAGACTGTGTATTATTTAATATTATACATTACAAAATATATGTATCAATACAGTTTCTTCTATTATGAGTGATAATGAATGTACAGTGACCTACAAACCAATTTCATGTTTTTTTTTTCTTTCTTTTTATTTTTATAATTAATCCAGTCTAGACTTAACTACAAAGTCTTGGTCTTGACTCAGACTCAGTCTTGCTTTGGGCTCACCTCTGGTGGTCTTATTAATGTGATTAAACAGCAGGAGCTTGTTTTTGTTTCTGCTTTGCTCCATCTCATCAGCTCTGTCTGTATTTCCCATTCACCAAAGGTAACCGTAGTGGGAGAAGGGGCGGGGCTTGGAAACAGGGAAATAAGCGGGTGTTTACAATTTGCATAATTATGCATATTCATAAATCTTCACATTCTTAATGAACGTTAAAATTTTGCGATGCTCCTATGTTAATTTAAAATACATTTCTGGGCATAACGATAATTATTGCACTTATTGTGTATATATGTGGTCAGTTACCCCACTAGCCCAGGGGTCGGCAACCCAAACGTTAAGAAAAGCCATTTTGTCTCCCAACTACCTTAGGAGCCCCAACATTGTATGTCCATTTTACCATATTGACTGTATATATGTCTCAGTATGTGCTGATATACTAGTACAGGCTAAAAGTATAATATAAACGAAAACACACTTACTTTTCTCTGCTTTAAGCTTTAGCTCAGCTATAGCCACTTTTCTCGCATCTCCAACAGGAAACTTTTCTCCAAATGTAGATATTTTCTTGTAAAATGTCTCTGAACGTTCGACTTCTTAGGAGGCTGAAGTCGCTTCTCATTCGCCAGCTTCTTGTTCGAACTTGCCCGTTCCATCTTAAATAGTGCCGGAGACGCCAGAATGTAACTGCTGCACCATTTAAGGTGGAACGGGAGAATTCGAAAGAGAAGCTGAATTCATCCTCTCGACGTTTTAATGTTTGAGTTTCTCGTTGCAGATTAAACGTATCAGGAAACCAGTTGAGCGCTTATAAATGTAAGTCCATTCGTCTCCAAATTATTGACATTCGTCTTAAATTTTTCTCTTGGACTTTTCGTTAGCTACTAGCTAAGCGAGACTGTTGTGGTTGCTATGGTGACCAGCAGTCTGCGCGCCAACCTTCAGGGTTAAAGGTCGGTGAATTAGCAGTTCTACATTAACTCCAGCGTTTAAGACCATTTATTGTTAAACTGTGAACGATCAGTAGAGCTTTATTTTACTGTAAAGGAGGATTGTTTTATTAGATAGACCATGTAATCCCAGATAGCAAAGTAACCATGAATCAACGTTGATATTGCGTCATTTTCGTCTTTTTTGGTTGATGACCAAAAATCAACTACAAATCAACGTTGATTCAACAGTTCTACGTTGATTCTAACGTTGATTCAGCGTTACTTTGCTATCTGGGATATTTATGCACCGGAAGTGTTTCGTTATACTGTATTACTGTATATTTATAATGACAAGGTTGAATAGAATACAAAGATGTATTTAATTTATTATTCAACCTTTTTTTAATAGCTTAAAGTATGGCTTTAGGGAAACTTAAACTGCCTTTAAAGGATGACCAAACAAGCCACTGTCTTTTTGTTCTTGAATAGTTAAGCATCCACTCCCTAACACTGCAACATTAAACCAACAAAGCTATAATTTCACAAATTACAAACATGGGTAACACCGGGCATAGTCGTTTTAACTGAATGGTACTTCAAAAAGCCAACACCAAAAATAGTGACAGTTACGTGGAATACGTAATGTTACTCAAACTGCTCCCTTATTTTTTGTTCCCAACACCGCAGATTGGAAGTTATAGTGTCCACTTTACCTATAATATTTGTAGACTTGCAAGGGATACTGTCATAAAAAGCATAAGCAGCATCTACAGTGTTAATTTTGTTATTTTAAGTTAGCTGGCGCAACTGGTAGATGCGATGGTAATAATACACCATGCAGACTCCATGGAAACTTCGCTCTTTCTGTTTAACTCGAACACAGTGTTTACAAGGAGACTGAGGCAAGCTGGGCTTATATTTTATATATATATATAAAAGAACTTTGGGCTACATAACACAACAGCACAGTGCACACTTGAGACTGACCAGAACTGATGGTCCGTGGAATGCACAACCACAGCAAAGTTCAGAGTGTCGCCTTCATTTTGAGTCAAGTATACGAGATGCGAGGAAAAAGAAAGAAAAATACATCCACAGAAAGCTTTTTTGGTCCAAGCGTTTACTTGGGACAGTAGTACATGACATGATATCTGAAGAGGAGCCTTCTGATTATTGCAGATGCACTGAAGTGAATCTATGTTCCCAAAGGGCGAAAGCAGCCCAGCTCCTATGCACCACAATGGTAAGAACAACTATAACTTGTGGGAACTTAGTCCTTTCCTGTCCGAGCCTTGTCGGCTGTGCCCGTCCCAGAATGTAACAGTCCATTTGAAATGCTGAAACTGAAACTCAACAGGACCCAGAGTACACCCCTGAGGCACACCACGCCTGAATCCTCAGTTCCGTTGGTGCCGGAGGCTTGCAGTGGTCCGTGTTTGGGCTGCAGATCGAAGTGGGATAAAGCCATTATGTCAGTATAATCTCTGCTTGCTCGCAATTTCGGAAACAAGAAACCACCACTGGATAAAAAGCAGTCTTTCTTGGTCTTTTAAAACCCTTAGGTGGCCTTTGAGGACTAGGTCTGTCTCTGGAAGACATTCAAAAGGAAAGAGTAGAATGGACAAAGCTCAACTTGGAATGCTACTACTATGGAATGTGAAGGATAATCGCATAAATAAATACATGCCAATGTTCAGTGTACATTGTAGTTTAAGATATAAAAAGTTCTAGATAGAATAATGGAAAAAGAGAAAAAGACACTGGAGGGTTGAGAACTACTCATTGTAGATCATGAGCTCATACAGACCTACTAATTTAAGTACAGGCCTCCCAACCCTGCCTCACGCACACAAATCACTACAAAGCTCTCGTGGAATGTTTCAGACATTTGGCTTTGCTCTTAAATGAGCTGGACACCTAAAATCTGTTGAACGGTTCCCCAACAGGTTCTATGAAGCAGCACTCATTCGGATTGCATTGGCTTTATGCTTTCAAAAACAACACAAACACAACAACAACAACAAAAAAAGAAGTAGGCAAACATTATTTGTCGTGAATCACTTTCACAAGCTCGATAGTTCAGTGGTTTTTGAGCCAGACCTGCATAAGTGGTGTGCTGAGTGCTTGAACATGACCAGAGTCATTGAATGAATCCTATCCAAGCCACCTGAGGGTTTTGAACTACATGTACAAACGAACAGAGGTCCATATTTGCAAGAAACAAAAAAAAAAAATTCTGGGGCAGATGTAATACATCTTTGCCTTTTTAAACATTAAACAGACTAATTCTTCTTAAATGATCAAGGCAACTTTCCTTCACATAAATAACAATGAAATGTACATTCTTAATAAGTAAAAAAAGAAAAAAAAAAAAGAAATGTATCCATGGATGATGGCATCTACCTGACTGCTACATGAACCAACACTACAGTCTTCATAAAAAGTTACACAGAGACATGGTGTTCAGATTGTTGGTCAGAGTCTTAATATTGTCCGTTTCTGGAGGCTCGACTCCAGAGTCAGTCTTAGTTTTGATTATCGCACTCAGATCCCTGTCGTATGTGAACGGACATACATGTATATAAAGTCTTTTGATTTTCTTCCATGTAATAGAGCTTCGAAAATAATCAAGGCAGTAACAATGAATAAAATAATACAGTAACTAACAAATGACTGTTCCTGTTAGAAGCCTGTGCTAGACTGAGTGTATGTATGTATGTGTATGTGTGTGTGTGTGTGAGTCAGAGTTGGAACGTCTCCGAGACTTGTGTGCGTGTGTGGCGTAGACAGGCAGCTTTGTGATGGACTGATTGTATAGCCGTTGAAGGCTTAAGGCCCCTGAAGGGACCGTGGTCCATTCGAGTGAGCCCTGAAAAGGGCGGCCAGAGGTCAGGTGTCATCGTCCGTGTCCTCTATCAGAACCTTGGTGTCTCGCATTTTAGATCTAAGTGAGAAAGAAAGAAGAACAGGTTTAAGAAGGGACATGTCATTTAATATACAAGAACACAGAACATACTAAGGTTGTGCACTGGAACCTGAGTACTCGGCTAAGTGTTCGAGTTGCTAGCATTCAAATACTGAAATTACTAGATTATATACAGATTAACAATTTTGCTTGTATTCCAAAAAAGTTGGGACAGTATGTGAAATGCTAATAAAAACAGAAAGCAGTGACTGAAGCTGTATTAAATTGAAAACAGTACAAAAAAAAACACAAAAGTTTGTTTTACCACAATTTTTAGCACAATTTTTTTCAGCTGTGCAACTGTACTGGGCCTTTGTTGTATTCTGAACACATTTTTAATAGGAGACAGGTCTGGACTGCAGGGTGGCCAGTCTAACACCTGCACTCTCTGATTACGCAGTCATGCTTTTGTAACAGGTGCAACATGTTCAGAATGTTTCTTGGTGTTGTCACACTGAAAAAGGCATGGATGTCCCTGAAAAGGACGTTTAGAAGTCAGTTTATAAGTTTCTCCAAAATGTGTCTAGTGCCAATGGTGCTTTCACAATGAGCAAATTACCCACTAATACCCCCTGATACCATGACAGACCCTGCCTTTTAAACTTTTGAATTAAGATTAAGTGACCCTTATTAGTCCCACAACGGGGAAATTTCACCTCTACATTTAACCCATCCATGCAGTGAAACACCACATACTCACTAGGGGGCAGTGAGCACACTTGCCCGGAGCGGTGGGCAGCCCTATCCGCAGCGCCCAGGGAGCAGTTGGGGGTTAGGTGCCTTGCTCAAGGGCACTTCAGTGACGTACTGTCGGCTCAGGGGATCGAACTGGCGACCTTCCTAACCTCCAGCCCATAAATGCTGGTAACAATCTGGATGGCTCTTTTCTTCTTTGGCCCAGGCAATACACCGTCCATTATTTCCATCAACAATTTGAAAGGTTGACTCATCAGACTACAACACGTTTCCATTGTGCATCAGTCCATTTCAGATGAGCCTGAACCCAGAGAAGTCGGCAGCATTTCTGGATTTGAATGCAGTGCCGTGTGATGGGTTGAAGATCACGGGCATTCAGTTGTGGTTTCGGCACAGTTCAGGCATTCAGTTGTGCCCTTTCTGCACAGATATTTCTCTGGATTCCAATCCTTGCCGTCCCTGACTGAGCATTATTATTCTTAAACTGCTGGATTTTTTGCTGATGCATTTTGGCAAAGTGGCGAGCCTCAACCCATCCCTGCTGATAAAGGTCTTGGCATTTCCTGGATACTCTTTTTATACCCAAGCATGGCTGCATCACCTTATTAAATGTTATCTTGAACATCTTTAACATTTTTTTTTTAATATACATTTTTTCTGAAAGTAATGCCTGCAACAGCTTCCAAAAAAGTTGGGACAGAGGCAGTTTATGTTAATTGATAAAACATAACATATCTTATCTTTCTACTGTTTTTGTTCAAATACAGATTAAAGTAGATTTATAAATCACTGCTTTCTGTTTTTATTTCACTTTGCTACTCTGAAACACGAGTGCCTGAATCTGAGTGCGCTGCCAAGGATGTGTTGTTAAGAATGTGGCTGAAAAGGCAGAGATGCGGCTTTAGTACTAAGTAGTCTAACTGCTGTAGCTGATGGTAGATAAGTTCTTGGTTCTTAAATATGAGAACATCTAACCTTAAAGAGAAGCTAAAATCACTTATCAAAAATTATATTTCTATTATATTATTTGATTTTTACACTACGATGCAGAACTTAAAAGTAGATTCATTTACAATTCAACAGGAAACTATTCAGTGTATTATGAAAATTCATTTCATACACTGAGAACAGGAGGAACTATTTCTGTTGTGAAATAAAAAACAATCCATCAAGCTTTTTATTTTTATGTTTGAAAATGGCCAGAGAATTATTATATATAATTAAACCATTCCAAAAATTCATGCAGATCAACATTCAGATTGACTTCCCAACAAATGCATACAGTGGATGACTGAGTGTGGAGTGGTATCGCTGTGGTGGACTTACTGGGATGCAAGGCGTGGTCGTCTGAGGGACATACTGTAGCTTCTCTTCCAGCTCTTCTTGCCCTGCCGGTTCCTGACCCCGTCCTCCTGGTCCATCATCTGCTCCAGCAGCGTCTGGTCGTCTGCGTTCAGTGGAGCCACTGAAATGTCCCGCACCGCTCTGAACTCACCACAGTTATTCAGGTGCTCGTTCTCCAGGCGGAAGAAGTTCCACACGAAGCGTCTGCCACAGAAGCAAGAACAGCAAAGCTTATTCTTGAGCTTTGGATAACGGAGGCACAACAGCATGTTGTCACCACCATCTGTGCAAACATATCTTAAAATGATCAACTTATTTAAAAGTGAATTTAGTTAACTGTCATTTTCGCTGATTTACTTTCTGTACTTCCTTTTTTGTAACTCTCAATTTTTGCTGGCAAATGTGTTAATCTAGTTTAATTCATTTTCTACTAGATCATATACAGACTGCAGTTGAAGATCACAGGATAATTGATATACTCCATCTGAAAACTATACTGGGAGGCAAGAAATGACATTCTGTGCACCTCACACACATTTTTGCAATGTTTGAGGTGGGCCAACTGCCAAAAAGACAAAACAATATGCACATTTTTTATATATATATATATATATATATATATATATATATATATATATATATATTTTAGTATGTTTTGTCACTAATATACTATAAAAATACACTTATTAAAAAAAAATAACATGTAACATGTGGTACCACTTTAAAATAGCCTAGCCTTATAAAGTGTTTATGAACGATTTAAAATGAGTTGGTTAATGGTTATTTGTTAGGTCATAAACATTTTTAAAAAAAATCATTGATAAGCAGTTATAACACATTAATAAAAAGGGCAAAAGTGAGCTGTAATATCTGATGGATAAGACAAAGTAAGATCAGTAAACATGAAAATCTGAGGTTTAAACATATAAATGGCAAGGTTCACTATTAGGCAATCAACAGCTCACTGTTGCTCTTTTTATTTATGAGTTGTAACTGCTTATTAATGATCTTAAGGTCTTTATAACCTAATTAATAACCATTAATTAACTCATTTTAAACAATTCATGAACGCTTTATAAGGGTAGTCTTATTTTAAAGTGGTACCAAAAATGTTTCTTCTCTTATTGAATGAGGGGGTGTGGTTAGGGTAACTTTCTGGCAGACCAAATTAAATGTCCTCACGGGCTAAGCTTGGGCAGCCCTGCTATTATGAGTAGAACTCATGCAATGTAACCCCAGCTTTACCAAAACTGTGACTGTTTCTTTAACATTTGGCTCTTGTCTATGTGTCAGTGTGTTTACGTATAGCAAGTTTTACCTAAACACCTCCAGTGGTGCAAGAACAGTGGCCAAAATGTCAGCGATATTGCAGCATGAAGTCACAGCCCCAACAGAGAGGGGAATCGTCCAGGCAAAACGCAAGATCACATCTTCTAATATGGCACAATAATAGTAAGCCTGTATAGAAGGAGGTAAAAAGCATTTAGATGGAAAATGGCACACGATGATGCATATAAAAATCAATGTCATTCAAAATCTTCTTTCAAACTGTACTATGACTAAAACTTCATTCATAGTGGGGACTGAATATTTATAACATCACTGATACACTGCAAAAATGAACACAATCCCATCTAAGCTTTGTCTTACTTTCTGTGGGTAGACTATCTCCTCTCTGAGAAGAGTATTCTCCCCTGCGTTGCGGTCAAACAGACCCCAGTCCATCTTGAGGTCCCACACAAGTGTGTAACAGGAGTTGATCACCGAGAAGGCAATCAGCAGGTAGAAGAAAATATCCTTGTCATCGTGGTTATTAGCTAAAAGACAGAGAATCATTTAAAATAATTACTCATCAAAAAGTGAAGGGTGACAGCTGAAACTTCGTAATCTTTTTGGTGTTCCTCAGGGCTCAATACTTGGACCTTAACATGCTAACACTGGATAAATAACTATTTTTCATCATCAAATCTGTTCGAAGTTGGATTTGGATTATGCGCAAAACATGAAACTCTTACCTTTGTGGGTTTTGTAGAGGGCTGCAAAGGTCACCACAAAGAAGGTTGTGGAATATTTGCCAGCGTTGACTAAATGAGGAAAGGCACGCTTTGTGTCTCTGTAACGCCTCAGGCACTGCACAAACCGGAACCAGGCCGGCAGACACTGGATCACAGCTCGCACTCCATATGAGTATGTGTTACACATACCTAAGCAAAAAAAAATAAATAAATAAATAAATAAATAAATAAAAAAAAAGAGAGAAAAAGCAAAAAGCACAACAGTAAATGACTAATGGTCAGGAAGGTCAAAAGTACACTGCCTGATTTGATATTCATTTTATGTTGCATTGCAACTGTATTAGCTGTAAGTGAAATGATAATGTCTCCCAGTATTGATTAATAATTTTCCTGATTAGAAGTACAGGATATCAGTGTTTCTACACACTCAAACATGTTTTAGTTAAAAACACACTTTTTGTTACTAATACTTTGACACATTTTATGTCAGGCCACAAAAACAGCTTCTCTCTGTCTGAGATTACGATACTGTAACAAAACTGGGTTAAATATCTGCCCACGTAAAACAAAATGTGTTGTCCTTATGTGTTATTTGAGTCTATACATTCTACATACATTTCTGTCTCATATTAGAAGCAAATTGGGTCAAGATCTTTTGCCTGCAGCTGGCCTGAACACTTTCAATATGTGGATAATGTGGGAATCGGGACCTACAACTCAAGGAATACTCATACTCAATGGCTGAATAATCTCACGCTGAGTTAATATTTCCTTTGAAAATGTGCCAAAACGTTTTCTAAAGAATGAAGCGTCTTACCACTACCAGCTTTAAGCTCTTTGTATGATGTCCAGTCCAGCTCTACACTGTAGAAGCAGACGAGGTACTCCAGGTCCATCAGGAGCACGGCCAGGGAGTTGAGCTGATCAGCCAGCCAGAAATCTGCAAACTCCACTCTGTGAAATGGAGCCGTGACCACTCGGAACTACGTAGGAGGAGGAGGTTGCGAGGCGAGGGAGAGAAGCAGACAAGAGTCAGCTCACCAAATCGGTGTTTGACTTTTCATTTTAAGCTACAATTATAAGCCCAATAGCTGATATGAGTGCAAGGAACATTTTTTTTTTCTTGCATAAGTCAGGTATATGATGACTCACAACCATGCGGCACACTCTGCAGGGTCTTACCAGTAGCTTGAGCAGCCAGAAGCGGGATTTGTAGTAGCATGTCTTGAAGGGATTGATGAGGAAAAGCAAGAAGAAGCCATAGAGCGCTAGAGGGCTGGCCTGAATGGGGATCATTAGGGACTCAGAGAAAAGACAGGACAGGATGCTGACACACCACAGCACTCCAAGAAAACCAGCAATCTGCAAATGCATGGGGAAGAAAACAGATAAAGCAATGCATAAGTTAAAATTAGATTTGGGTTCCACACTGTGTTGTAAAAAGGCACTGTAAAGTAACACAAGTGGAAATACTGCACTAGGAATAAGATTTGGTGCTCATTCTGTGTGATATGATAATGTCTCCCAGTATGAACCGATACTTTTCCTGATTAAAAGTAAAGGATATCTGTCCTCCATTAGTTCATCCTGAGCAAAACATAACAATCATGCATGCATCACAGTCAGTTAGATGCACAGCTTTACCTACAACAGCCAATTCCAAAAAAGCTGGGACAGTGTGTGAACAATATTTTATGTTCGACCTTATGAATGTCATTGTTTTAGGTAAATATATGCTCATTCCAAATTTGATGCCTGCAACACATCCCAAAAAAGTAGGGACAGGGAGCCTGTTTACCACTGTGTTGCATCACATTTCCTTTTAACAGCACTTAATAAATGCTTGTGGACTCAAGACAGCAACTGATCCAGTTTACAGTATTTGCTGTGGACCCAGAGGAACAAGTATTTATTTACTTGTCAATTTATTGTTTTGGTATTTTCAGTGTATATATCGCTGCTGTCGGAAGAAAACCTTGTATCTCCAAAATGATAACTTTACAGGAGAAGGAAAAAAACATACTTTTCTTTTAATGCAAGTCAATGGAACCAGACTTCTTTCCAAGTGGTTTTGGGTCATTTATTTTAGTCCATTCATCATGAAACTGACGTCCTATGTAAAAAGTGTCAAGTATTTTCAAATTACGTCAAAAACTGAAAAATGAGAGACGGCAGAGATACGTCTTCTGACAACAGCGATATATTGTCTGTTATCCTACTAGACATTCATGTCCTTGTCTTGATGTTTATGCACCAACGAAGCAGCCTAAATAATTTTTGTTATACTGTACTACCCCATATATGTATAATGCCAACTGAATTAAATTCAAGTTTGATTAAAATAATATGAATTTTGTAAGCGGGATTTTTGCCATTCTTCTGCTATACAAGTCTTCAGCTGGGCCTTTGTTGTTGCATTTTAAACTTAATAATGCACCAAACATTCTAATAAGGCTACACAGCCATGCTGTTGTAACACATGAAGAATGTGGCTTGGAGATGTAATTGTGAAATAAGCATAGACACCTCTGAAAATGACGTCATCTAGAAGGCAGCATACGTTGCTCCAAAATGTGTTCGGTGATAATGGCGCAAATTACCCACTAATACCACCCCCCCAATGGCCCTTGGCTTTGAAACTTTACACCGGTAACAATCTGGATGATCATTTTCTTCATCAGACCACTGGACACATTTCCACTTGCATTTGTCGATTCAGCGACGAACGGCGTTTATTGATAATGCAAATTTATAATCCAGTGCTGTCTGAAAGGTTGAAGGTCATGGACATCCATTTGCGGTTTTCCTTCTCTCTTGCGCACAGAGATTTCTCTGGATTCTCTGAATTTTTTGATGTTGTTATAAACTGAAAGGGGTGAAACACCTATAATCCCTGTAATCACTCGTTGAGATCCACTGTTCTTAAACTGTTGGATGTTTTTGCTTAGAAATTTTGGCAAAGTATAGACAACTTTTGTGGAATGTGGTATATCAATTTTAGAATGAGCATATATGTACAAAAAAAAACAATGAAGCTGACAGGGTAAAACATATTTACTACATGTTGTAGAAACAAAGTTTCTGTGATGGCATTAACGTTACATGAACCAGAGGAAAGTCTCTGTCTAACAAACTGTGTCACGAAAACTGGATCTACCAACACATTATATGTCAGAAACTTTATGCCCGGCAGAAGTTAGGGACGCACGATGATATTGGAATCATATCGGTGTTGGCAGATATTTGCTTAAACAGATTTATCTGCAACAGACAGATGTTTATCTTTGACTGATACTTACAGTACTGACATACTGATATTTAATTATGTATTTATGCTCCAGAGAGGCAGAATGTTCAGGCGACGTTGGGTTACTTTGCTTAAAAAGGTCTGCATTTTACTCTTTTTACTGCATTTATAACCCCATTGCCCAGCTGGGCAATATGACAATATTTTAGCATTATTGTCATAAACAATGTGTATATCTGAGCATATCGTGGCTACTGCCCACAATTGAACACTGACCAACTCCATGTTTCATTGCAAAGGGAGCATCGTTAGTCCTATTTAATTAGATAGATTAGATGTGGCACTACTAGTGCACTGCGCAATACTGTGATACGTATCATGTATCATGAAAATGTGTTTGAGTATCATATGATATTTGTGCCACCCCTATGTAACCCTATAGAAATCAGTGCTAAGCCAGATGGATTTATGTATAGGCATTGTATTGCCATTGGCAGATACATACACAAAAAATATATGCAGATATTGGCACCGACCCACAGTTCCTATGCTGGTCCCTAAGAGCAGCTGACTCAATAGCTGTCAAAAGCTGTGTAGCTTTTAGCTTGCAAACAAGCAACTCCGAGGGGAACTTTGACGATGGTGTGTTAAGAAGAGCACCGAAACAGCTGAAAGTGTCGAGAGATTTCTCCGTTCTCTCCTGGCTCACCTCAAAGAGATGCTGGTGGGAAAGGTTGTTGCGGGGGTTGAGCTCAAAGATCAGCACGTGGTTGACGCCTGCCTGTCTCCAGCCGTACGTGTTGATGCCCAACAAGAAGAGGAACTCGATGAGCAGGAAGCCGCCGCGATAGATCCGCACCAGCGGCCACACGGTCGACGGGGTTTCCTTTTTATGAGATGTCAGCAAGCTTGCCACACCTACGAAGAAACACTCTTAATTTCAGCAGAACTGACCTGCATATCATTTAACTCATTCAACCAGGGTGTGAAATGCCTGGCAGGTGAGGAAACTGTACCTGTGATGCTGATGGTGACTAATAAAACTATGAAGACTCCGCAGTACAGCCCGACTCTAAAAGTGGTCCATGATGGTGCAGGCTGGAAGGGAAGAGGAAGCAGAGAACTGTCAAAAATGTGCCGTCATAAACTTAAGACCGAAGGCAGAAAACAAATAAGCTTTCAGCTCATACAGATGTAGATCATACCTGTCCACCCAGTTACATGTACTTAAGTATAATGTTGATGGATCTGTATGTGTGAGTAGAGGTGGGGATATTATGTTATTGTGATAAATTATGTCACACCACACTTTTCTGAGCATATCGTAAGCTGCGTTCCAAAGCCTAGGCTGCAGCCGAGGTAGGGCGGGTCCTCGGTAGGACTGTCCTGTGAAGACTCCTCCTTATTAGCCTACTGGTCACACAAATGGAACAGTCCTAACAAGGCTGCGTGGTGACGTCACCAGAGCGGCACGAAACCCGTGAGGGAACTGGTGAGAGAAAATGGAGCCCGTTGCATTGAGTTTGTCGCTCTTTCATTTCTTCACAGAAACGGAGATGTTCTTATGTAGTACGATGAACTACATATATACAAATACTTCTAAATAAAATACGATATATGGACGATATAAGGACGAATCCTTCAATTAATCAGTCATTTTACACTTTATAAGGTAACGAAGACAAATTCAAATACGTGAACAACTTACATTTTAAAACAATTTCTGCTCCAACCGCTTTGTTTTCTGCCATTTTTGTGGTGCTGTTTTTCTTTCCTTTACGTCGTTTGTGCGCAAAGAACTACGGATAACCAGAGGCGTGGAAGGATACATTTGATGTGTCCTTGAAATCACTCCGAACGTAGCCTGCATTTCTAGGCTGTATACGAAGGGTGCTTCACTTTGGAACGGCCTGCTATGACGTAGCGGCCGAGAAATGCAGCTTAGGCTTTGGAAAACAGCTGTTAATATCGTCTGTTTAATTGGATTTAATGCAATAAAAATCATTGTAGTTGTAGGTTTATTATTATAGTATTTTTTATATGAGGCACTACCGGCTCATTTTGTCTATTCCAACTTATTCAATCTCAATGCATATTGTGAAAATGTCAAAGTATAGTGATATATTTTTGCCATATTGGAAATTAAAGTCTTCTATTTAATGTCCTGTAAAATCTATGCTTTCTTTCCTGATGTTGAAAACTAAACAACCTGTACTTAATGGCCTTTTAACTGGAAATTAATCCATTGAAGGGGTTGTTCCTGACTGTATTGTATGATAACACTTTTACCAAAGCTCAAGCATATTTATGAGTAAATTAACCTACTTCTTGCTTATATCCATTTTAGCCATTCACAGAGTTTCTGATTCTCTGTTTAAGTTCAACTTTGTTTTTTTTCCTTTTGTTCTTTTGGTTCAGTTCCTGACTTGCTTTGCAGTCACACGTCCCACTTTGGAGCTTTAGCACTTTATTTTAGACCAGAAGGACCCAAAAAGAGAAGAACAGAGCCTAACAAATTTCAGTTCTTATGCTGATAGGCGATGAACGTACCCAGAAGTTCCTCCGCAGTTCAAAAGGAAACCATCAGTTTTCTGACTTGCTGCTTTTTTTCTCCTCCTCAAGCTGTTCTTTGCTAGACTACATTTACTTCCACTTAGAGTCATTATCTCATTGGAGTAACAAAACTTCCATCTGAGTATGGGTTTAGGCTACTCTACCCACCACTTCTCATATACAACCACATCCTGTCATCCTCAATTCACTAAATTAGACATAACCCTGTAATCTTGGCGTCACATTCTAAAACGGGGGTGTCAAACTCTGGTCCCGGCAGGCTGGAGTTTGGTGATTTCCTTGCTCTAACACACCTACTAAACCCGGTAATTCACTGATGAGATGAATCAGGGGTTTCCAGAAGGGAAACCACCACACTGTGCTGGAGTCACTTCCTTTAGGGCTGCAGTCCAGCACTTCGGAAAGGAATACCTCACTTATGTATCTTTGAGTTTCACATGATGTCATAACGTATATTCACTTGTTTTGAAGACAATAGGAGACCAACAGTCTACGATAAGCTAATATCTTTAGCCTTTTCTATTTGCTGAGCTGTTGATTACAATAACTAATAATATTTTTTTCATAAACTCTGTTGCTCTCATGCTGCAAAGTCTATGCAGAATTCTTCATTCTCTTTTGCTGTGATCAAACCTTACCAACCCTCTATGTCTTTAAACCACCTAAAACGAATCCATCATTTACATTCGTATAATCGTCATTTTCTACAGAATCTCATGCCAGTGGCAGCGACTTGCCAGTAGGTTGCAGAAATCACTGACAGGTTGCACTTTTACTGGCATATGCCACTCGAGCTGGCATGTGGAGATGGTATGTTAAGTGCCATCTTCTTCTGCGCCAGTGGCAAGCGCCACATGCCAATCCCAAAGAACGCTCCTGCATTCACTTTTCTTCATATCAGCTGGTTACTAGGGTTGGGCGGTATTCACTTCACACCGTTAACCCTTTAAAATACCAGGCTTATTACATACTAAGGCTTATTATTCAGTAACTACATAAACTTCAATGCAAACTGGCTGAGTTATTCTTAGGTTATGAAGTATGTAATAAAACTCTGGGCCTGCTGGTGAGCCCTGGCCATTTAAGGGGTTAAACCACAAAAACTCCAAATATTACTGGGGTAGGTGGTATTAAGGTACCTAGGGCAGAATGATTTGGGGAAAAAAATTCAAATGGCAATTTTCTGACAAAAGTTGTGTATAAATTACATAAACTGTGATAAAGTCCAAGCATGTTTTTTTGTCCAAGACCACCAGCATATCCATTTTTCACAAGCTACATATTATTAGGTTACATTTCCTCACTTAAAACATGTCAAAACAATGTTGCTTATGGTCACCTACTAAGTGAAAACAGTGCACGCTGTTCAAGTCAGCTAACAACTGCTAAATGTTAAACAGTGCTGCTAACTGGGAGAGAGGAGCTGGTTAACATACGCTTAGCTAACATGATAACAGCTCTGCTCACCACATAACACAGTTCTAGACATCGTAACAATGACATGATTTGTAGTTTTGGTGGGAAAGAAGATGGATCTGCTGGGAATACTGCTGTTTGTTTACTTAGGTTTTTCTGTCGTTTTGGCTGGGCTTACACTACACCACTTTTAAAATCTTACCAGATTTCTAAAACTTAACATCAGTTTGTCACAGACTTTTTGTCGTTAGGACGCTCACACTAGACAACAGGACAGAGAGAGAGTATAACACACATAACGAGTTTGGGCTACGAATAAGAACTCAAACTCCCAGATCTCCTCAGAAATCATGACACAAACAAAGCTAAATTTACAGGACCTATTTTCACTCATTTCTCCTCTCATTTGAACCGTCAGTCGTTCATGATCGAGCTCACGACCTGGAAAATCGCATCAGATAGTGAAAATTTGTCGCAAGGGGCAAATCAGGCTTAAAAATCAGACAAAAAATCATGCAGTGTACACCCAGCTTAAGAGAGTATGTTAGTTCTGTGTTGCTGCAACAAAAAGAAGGGCATGCTTATGAGATCAAGTTAGAAACCTCACATAAGCAGTGTTTATATTTGTGTTTTGTGTATGGATGATATTAGCCTGCAGTGCTCATATGTGGCTGCTGAATAACTAAAACAGACCCAGTTTACAATACAACTATGAGTGGTCGCTGTTGCTTTTTTACTGACGCCCCCACAGGGTTATTTATGCGGATGTCTCACCTGTGCTGCACCCAAAGGAGGCACTCGAAGCCTCTTCATGGCTCTCTGTCTGTCACCCCCTTCCAATTCTGTGGTAACCAGGGCCTAGAATAACGATAATGAGTATTTCCTTCATTTAATTGTTAAAAGAGGGCAACGCAAAGTAAAATATATAGTGAAAACACATTATTTCCTCAGTCCAAAGGAAACAGCATGAATGACCTTTTCTTCTATCTACATATATCAGTACCTCAGTCTCAGAGATGAGCTGGGTGATCTTTTTGCAGGTGTAGAATGGTGCAACCTCTACGTGGGCCACACGCCAGTCCGCCCCCCGCGCCGTCTCAAAGATCTTATCATGCTTCTTCAGAATCTTGCGGAACCCGGTGAAGTTCAGATTCTGTAGGAAACAAGGCAGCCACACTTTACAGACAGCACCACTGCAGTTAACTACATGCATGAGCAACAGTGCCTAAAGACCAGCTCATGGTAGATGCTGGTGAGTAAAAAGAGATCAGTAAGGATCTTTAATGTAAAAGGTTGAACAAAATACAATAGAAAACAAAATAACGGATAATCCAAAAAAGACTGGAATTGTTAATATATAGTTTTTTGTTTGAGGGGCTCACTTAGGACCCCCTGAACTATGAGAGATCCAACGACTATGCCTTTTTTTCCTGAACAATATCTTCTGAAGACATCAGCGATAACTTTGCCTCAAAAGGTCCAAATGATGACATTTTTTGTTTTTGTGAACTAAAAACAGTCATAATTCATTTCTACACATCCATTTTCCAACCTCTCTTTAACCCTTAGAATTAAACAGGCTGTTTTTGTTATTGTGCCTTTAAGAATGATAGATGTAAATGAGCTCTGTCTCATTGGCTGCCTTAAATAGTGTCTCATTCAAAAAGAAGTCTGAGCTGAAACACTCCTTATAACTTCAGTGTGAAAGGATGGGGCTAACCTGCTGTAGGATAGACAAGTGAACGAATTTGTTGTCATGACAACACAAAAACAACTAATTCAAAACAGTCTGTTTTTGCAGTTTGGTTTCTATTTACAGACTATATAGACAGGAGAGTGAATGGTATGTTTTTTTTTGTTGTTTTTTTTTACCCGATTTTTCTCCCCAATTTAGTCGTCTCCAATTCCACCCGCTAGTTAGGACTCCCCCAGTCACACGATGCTATCAACGCTAGGAGGGCGAAGGCTAACACAGGCTTCCTCCGAGACCTGTGAAGCCAACCACCGCTTCTTTTCGAACTGCCGCTCACGCAACGTCATTGGACAGCCGAACGCGCTCGGAGGAAAGCGCCAACCGCCAGATCTGTTACGTCAGCTAACAGACGCCTGCGCTGACTAGCATCGCTAGTCATGGGGGAAGAAGGAGGGGCCATCCTACCCACCCAGAGAGAGCGAGGCCAATTGTGCTCTCTTGGACTCCCGGCTACGGATGGCTGTAGCATCACCAGGGATCGAACTCGCGATCTCCTGATGATAGGGCCAACGCTTAAACGGTTGCGCCACTCGGGAGCCCCCCGAATGGTATGTTTTAAAACTTTATCACTGATCAGGCCCAACATCAAACTCTTTAAAAGAATTTTCCATCATACGGGTTACAGTTTATTTCTCCTTAGTTAATTACTGCTATATCATATTTGCCACAGCATTCAATGAACTTTTTTCCCTGATCAAAAAGAATAAAGTATTCATTCATCCTTACATACAAAATGTCACTGGGGTGGATGCGGGCTCTTAACTAGGATGCAGCTTAAGGCCCTTAAATATTTAAAAACAGCCTTGTGGCCACTTGCACACAACATCTTTAAAGCATCCCTTACACACTTAAGATATATTCTAAATACCATGGAAACCTGAATTTTCCTATTTATATATATATATATATGTATATATATATTTTAAATAAAGGAGTTTGAGGTAGTAAATAAAGACTGTTGCAATTTCACTCCTCGGTTCATACAGTCTATATATGGAAACTAAGCTGCAAAATGGAAACCAACACATTCACGCATTTCAACAGCAGTTGCAACACCCGCCCACCATAAGATAGATAGACAGACAGATAGACAGACAGACAGACCTTAATTGATCCTGAAGGGAAATTGCAGTGTTACAGTAGCAAGACATATAATAAAAAGTTATGAGAAGTGTTTCAGCCCGGACTGCTTTTTAAATATATTGATTTTTATTCAGTTTGTGTCACAAACTACCTTTTTGAAAAAGGAAACAGATTAACATTAATGTAAATCACACGTCAATAATGTTTTATTGTTACTCTGATTAAACAGATTAATAATAAGCACTTACTGGTCTGAACTGTGTTCTGAATAAGCCTGCACACACTCAGAAGAAACCTAATGCATTTATCAATGAAGGAAAACTTGTGTATATTTAATATGGTGATAGAAAACATGATAGCTCACAGAAACCTTAATTTCTACATGCTGAAATTGATAAAATGATTTTATTGTTTGGAACAAGGCCCGTTTGCAGATTTATAGAAGCAGGCCCAGCACCAAGCTCATGGGGCTTTTGCGGTTAACGGAGAATTTTCCAAATTTCTGCTTAAATAAATTGCTAAAATGTGAACAAAGCCATTCAGAGTGTTTGCTGTGAAATGCTCCGTTCTAGAAAAACTCACTGAGCCACAACTGTTCACAGTGCTGGTGATAGGAACCAGATGTCTAAAGAGTTTAATGTCTCTAAAAGCTACGTCATATAAAATTACTACATGTAAACGGTTATGAATGCACTGTCTGATGCTTGCATTGTTTTATGATAGTTTTGAGATAAGCTTTTGGCCTAAAATATATTTTGTCAATCCATTCATGGCACAGAGATACATGCAGTTACAAGGCAAAACAGTAACCAAAGAAAACTCCACCCCATCCCCTTAGCTTTATCACTACTTTATCATTATTATTAACATTACATATACAAACTCAGGACACATGTAGGTTCCCTGGTGGATTGGGGTAGTAAATAACATGCTTATATCTGTGTTGTAGACATGGCGACCCCTGGTTTCTATCACCACCACTGTAAAGAAATCTGAGTCTGTACGTTTCTCTATAATGCACCGTTTCTCATCAAACCACTTTGAACGACTATGTTTACATCTCAATCACTGAACGCTACAAAAATTTAGAAAAATCTGTGAAATTCCCCTTTAAGATGTTTTACGCACACGACTAAACCTTGCAGCCCCTAAAAGTGTCTGACCTGGTAGTTCTGCAGCAGGATGAGGCTGAGGTAGAACTCGCTGAAGGCCAGCTTCAGGTCTTTGATGTTGCGGTGTTTGCAGCGCTCCTGCTGTGACAGGTGGAAGACGGCGCGGCGGCGGCGGAGACCAGGTGCTCGGCTGCTCTCCCGCTGAGCGTCCAGTGACGACTGCAGCTCATTCTGCAGCGTGGCGAAGCGTCTCTGCGCCTCAGCCAGCTTCTCTGTAAGAGAATTACAACAACAGCAGCCATCAGAGGAACTGATAAGGATAGACAGATGGATGCATAACTATAAAAGGCCATGAAGCAGAATATAATGGACCGAATACTAATTTTCCCCTAATCCTAAATGTAGTTGATCAGCCAAAGCATGTGGTGTCTGAAGTTAGCTTCTTATTTTTGCTCTGAAGCTATTTTCGCAATATAGCTAAGAAGTGAGAGCTTATATGTCGCCGATTAGCAGTGTGCAAACGTGTAACCATCTATCTGTATTGAAGTATTGTAGTACAACTTATTTCATTGTTAAGTTCTGGTTAAATTCTTAAAACACAGAACTGAAAAATTTTCAATCAGGACCTTTTCTCTGTGCTATCTAGATAGATACAGCCAAGCGAGCTCTCCCATTGGTTAGGACTTCAGGAGCTGAACTGAAGGCCTTACACTCACAGTGGAACCAACCATCATGGGTAGAATCAATGTTGTGAGAAGTAACCATCATTTTAGGTGACTATTTTGGTGTGGAAGAACTCCAGTGGCCTGCACAGAGCACTGACCTCAACCCCGCTGAACACCTTTGGCATAAACTTCATATTAACACCTATTTGGAATGGGATTCCCAACAAGCTCATACAGGTGTGAAGGCAAGGTGTCTGCATATTTTTGGCCATTTTATGCACAGGAAATTAAAGATGTCAAATATTCTTTTTAAATTGGCGAACCAAAAAAACTTTTTATCGAAAAGGCAGTTAACGGTAAAATGGTGATTTTTTTTTACACACTTTCATTTTATGGCTTGCAATTTGCACAGAAAGTCATGGCAACATAGCTACAGAGTCTCTGCTGACTGACCTTTGGGGTAATACATTCCATTTACTGCCAAACTATAGCTTTAAAAGCAAGAATGGATAGGAGGATGGACAGATGGGCGAACAGCCGCTCTACTCAGAGAAAGCAGAGCGAAAGAGCAAGATAATTTGATGGGCTACATAAGAGTGGTCTTGGCTTATAGCCTGTTCTGGTTTTGGCAGAGTGTCTGAGTGATTTAATGTCTTTTCTTAGTAAGGCTTGGGGACATTTTGTCGTTGTGAAACGGGTGAGGAGTAGGGGAAAAAAAAACAAGGGGCGGAGTGAAAGTGAAGGAAAGATGGCTCAGTGTTTACATTCGCTTACCTGAATAAAAAGTGTTGATTTTGGCCAGCTCCTTCTCGCATGTTTGGAAGAACTTCTCCTCAAACTTGGCATAGTATCTCTTAACAGTGTCTTCATCCGTCACTGCAGAGAGAGAGAGAGAGAGAGAGAGAGAGAGAGAAAGAGAGAAAGAGAGAAAGAGAAAGAGAGAGAGAGAGAGAGAGGGGGGAATGGACAGGGATAATACAGGATTAAATCTTTTCTCCAACTGACTGAGTTTGTGCACATATTTGCAGGCCTGCCAAGTTGGAACTGGACAGTAAGCAGCGTGTCTTTTCCAAAGAGACGGATTGCTGAAAGTGGATGGCCGGGAGTCAGTGTGGAATCCTGCACTGATTCCACAGTTACAGCGCCAAACAAGGCGCTGTGGGAACGCTATCAGAGAGAGAATTCTCGAACTGTCCCGGGCATCTCCCTATCATAAAATATCAGTCGGATGTTATTTATGACCACGTTTGGACAGGAAAACCAAACTGTTCCCCTAATCTCGAATGCAGTCTATCAGCCAAGACATGTTTGGCATCTTTGCCTCTTTAGTTTTGGACAAAAGGACGGACTAAATCCAGGCTTCAAAATAGCTGCTGCTACGTTTGTCCAGTACGGAGTGAGGGTCGAGCATGTGAGACTGAGATGGAAGCTGGAACTCTGAATGGTCATTTTTGATCTAAGTGCAATTCATTCTGTGCTCATGACAATTGGGAGCCACTCTAAAATCTCCCACTTGCTACCTCATGCAACATCAGCTGCTTGTACTAGTTCGGCTGCTGTGCTCTTATAAAAAAGTTCGTAAAAGTTTTTTTTTTATAGTTGTTTGGTTTTGTCATTTTCTTGTAAACGTGGAATGTAGACAATGACCATTCACCACTTTTTTAAAAAGGGAAAAATAACAGGAAAGCATACAGTTTCTTTGGAAAGTTTTGCACAGAAGGGTTTACAGTTATCAGTGAGCAGCCATGTTGACATGACATCATATGTTAAATTCGCAGTTGAGGACACCAGAGTTCTGCGCGGGACTGTTTTTCAGTACCGCCCCTGCACAAAAGAGGAACCATTTGTCCTGCTCCCGCCCGCAGCTGAAACATTCCGTCCCGCTCCCGCCTGCAGTTCTGACAAGCCAAACTGACATCTGATTTTTGACACAGTTCATCAGTCTCACTGTGAAATAACTTCACCAAATGCCATTTACTCCCAGTAAACACAAAGCAGGAATTAAACAACAGAGCCGTTATTTTTGTGTTTTGCTGGGCAGCTGCGGCCGTCAGACTGAAGGCTTCATCTCTGTAAGCTACGAGAGTTTGCGTGTACCTGATCGGTTACTTCGCAAATCTTTAGAATGACTTCATTCATTTGAACTGTTTTACTGTCATCATTATATACTGTTTATGTATATGATTTATATATGTTTCTATTTATATATGATGATTTTTCTTCATGCATACTTCGGTCCGCTCCCGCAGTGGGCTGGTTTTTGCCCGCTCCCGCGCACAACACCGGTTATGTTTACATGCAAAGATTTTTGCCAATCCAACTGAATACATTCCGATTATGGATTAAGACTGAGGTGTTTGTGCTCACTGTACTCACCAATCTGATGGAAAATATCCATTTACATGCACACTACAAGTACCACTTAGTGCAGACGTTACCATGACAACAAGCGTCACGTGAGTCCAGTCAGAGTGAGACGAGCAGCAGTGAGCAGTGCTTGTGTTTTTCATTGCTTTAAATTGGTGTCAGACTCAGGAAAACGTCCTTCACATGTCCTTATTAAAGACGCGCGCACATGCGCAGAACGTACTTTAACTTTCCGACTGGGAATGTAATCAGATACAGGCGTTTACATCGTTATTATTCTTTTATTTAACAGATTATTTACAGGATTACCCACCTCGTTCAATCGGACAGAAATTGTAGTCCGAATGGCCTCAGTCTATTCCGACTGAGGTGTTTACATGGACGTATTCTATTCCGATTGAGCTATTCGTCGGATTATTAACGGATTACCAAACTGCATGTAAACATGGCTACTGACAATTTGTCCCACACCCCAAGATATGCAAGAGATGCGGTGCAGACCTCCTAGAGGACACCTTCCAGACTTCCTGAGTAGGAATGCTCAGCTGGAGAGCGGCATTTTCTTTGGCTACTGCTAGTCGGAAATTCCAAGTTATGATCTTCAGCCAAACACAGAAAATTTGAGAAGCGAAAGAGAGCTTTTCAACTACACTTGAGGTAAATGGTAAACTGTGTACAACAAACCCACCACTGCTACTCCTTTAACAAAACACTTCCAACTTTCAGGCAGGAATGATGAAGGATGAGGAAAGAACAAAGGGCAGGAATGTGTCACGAAGCCACTTGAGGAGGTGCTTGCAGCCTAAACTGTTTAGCTTAAAAATCAAGAGAGAAGAACATAAAGCCCTGATGCCTGGCTGGTGCTGGCTGGTGTGAGCCGGGCTGTGTTGACTGTAAACAGTATGTTGCCAGAGAGATGTAGGTGAGTGATATTTCCCCGAGGGGACTGGAACGCAGAGGGCAATGACTCCGAGCTCGCGGCTGGACAGCGTCCAGACTGCCAGACGCTGAATCACTGTCTTCAGGAGTGAGTAAGAGTCAGAGACAAAAACACACACCAGTCTGAAGCTTCGGGTTTGGAAAAAAACGACCTGGAACACGTCAATCATTTCGTCTCGAGCATCTACTGTAACTAATGCTGTCTCCAGTTTATGACTTGTCTGTCTATATCAGTGTCTTACATCAACAACAGACCAAACCCTATCGTTTACAACAGTACAGTCCATCATAGACATTTAGGAGATTAGTATTATTACCATAAATAGACTTGCTTGTATACACCACACCTTGTACTGTACACTCTCACTTTGCACACATTGGTAATATACAGAGCCCAAGTGATATGAAGATTTTGTGGAAAATACAGATAATGATACCATTTTTATTCTATTTTATTCTACAATAATATTTATTTAATTCTATTTTACAATAGATTTAATTAAACAGTGCTTTTTTACTGTCTGATCAGTGTCAGATTACTGTCAGTTCTCAATTCTCACACCTCTTAAACACGAATAAACAGCAGGAACTCAGTTTTAAATAACAAATACTGTAACGCTGTGGTAGAGCTACCCAAAACTCTCTGCAGCCTTGTTTCCGTTAATTATCTCTTCTTGTTCTTCTTTTCCGTTAGTTTTTTTTATAACAAAGGTAGGTGCCTTGTGACGTGTCTCTTACTAAAGATAAAGGGGTAGATTTACGAAGAGAGAAGCTAAATTACAAACAATTTGCTGACACTTTGTGCTGGTGAGGCAGCCAATTTAGCCATTTATCTACTATGCCTATAAAAACAACTGTTTGGCTCACACGCCTTTTACATATAAGCCCCATAAAGCCAGGTAGGGCAATAAATAGGTTTTTCATTCTTCTGTTTACAGTTTAAGCCGACTCAATAGGTCATTTATTTCCTTCAGATTTTCACTTACTAGGTCAAAATAATGACAGTCTTCAGGAAAAAGGTATTAATCAATAATCAAGAAGGTGAATAATAATTTAATGTAAATAATAATACATAATAAAGAATTATTTTAACATAAGCAACTATTATAGGACACATAAAATAAGACATTATTTAAACATAATATGCCAGAAATTGGAGAAAATCAGTACATTTTTTGAAACATACTTATTTTCAGCTGGTGGGATGAGAAAAGGGGGGTTTTTCTGCATTATTTCATGACTTGACTGGTTTAAAAGTGAGAGCGTTTACATGCACTTAATAATCGGATAACTGCAGAAAATCAGATTTTGTCAGTAATCTGATCAACGTGTTTACATGCACTTGCGTAATCAGAAAATGTGAAACTCCAGGTCTACATGAGTCAGACAGTAATCAAAGATTTCTGCTTTACAACCAGTCAATAAACTCACAGAAGAAGACGTGACGTAAACGGAATGTAAATCTCAAACTTCATGCTGCAGCTTTTTGTTTCAGTGCTGCTCCAAAAGTGTTTTACTGCTGTTTCCGCACATGTGCAGACTGAGAAATCCGAAAGAAATCAGAGTAAGAGCTCACATGCACCGAGATATCTGATTACTGAGCTAAAATCCAGCTCTCTTTATCGGATTTCTTAATCAGATTTCTATCTAAGAAATCAGAGTGTGCTGTTTACATGACCATTTGAATAATCAGATAACTGCAGAAATCCGATTATGATCGGATTATTGAGTGCATGTAAACACACTCAATGACATTACCAGACCAATGATGGTACGCAGCTGTGTAAATTGGCTGCTGAAATTTGGTGATGATCCAAGAAGATCTTTGGCGGCAACGTTGTTATTTGTTTAAGAAGAAAAAAGCAAGGAATGCCTTTGGGTTCATCCTGTATTGTAAGAGCACAAGATGAATCACACTTTGTAAGATTTTCTTTGGCTTTGGAGGACTTTTCCCTTTCCAGCAGGTCAGAAATCTGAAGGGGTTGCTGGCTTCCAAGTGAGGGTGTTACACAGTGCTCCTTTTTGGGCTGTTTGTTTGTCTGGGTCTGTGTCTGCTCTTTCTAGGCCCAACTTTAACTATTAGGGGTGTGCATTTCAACTAACTGAGATATTTGAGAATTCATGAAAGTAAGAGTTCATATCTGGTTAACTGTGACAAAAGATTGACTGAAATGAAGGTGCTGTTTTAGGTGACAGCACTGGTATTGCGCTAAAACTTGGGGACATCGACAGGTTTTTATGTCAGATAAGCAGCTCGAACGATTAACCGAGTAATCGAGCATCCCTAGTAGCTCTGCCCCTGCTGAGTTAACATATTAGGAACATAGTCATATTGAACAATATAAGGCAGTGGTCACCAATCCCTTTCTCCTGCATATCTACAGTGCTCAAAAGCAGTCTTGGGACACCTCTATCATCATTTGTTTTCAGAATTATTTACTTTGTTAATGCATCATGGAATTTGTGCTTTGCTGTATTCAGCACATCATTTCAGCTATATTATTACTAAATCAATACTTTGAGTCCAACCGCACAGTAGGAGATAACAGTAACTAGATAACCTTCACCCA